CTGATAGGATGAATGAAGAGGTATTTAGAAATCAACACGCTCTCTACTCACTGTAGCTTTATGGGAGCGATGTGACAGCTCCGTGCCTAGGCTGCACAGGGAAGGAGGATGCTTTGTGCATCTGCAGCAGAGACTGACTTGAATTCAATGAACTGGGTTGGTTTTTTTTTCCCTTGAATACTATTGCTAATGCTGCTTTTATGTGTGTTAATGCCAGTCTGGTACTGTAAGTCACTGGAAAATAACCTTCTGAATGATGCATTGCTTAAAAATCTAATGAATTAGATGTCCTCTTGTCTCACTTTGGGTTATTTTCTTTCCTCGTTTTGCTGCTTAGAAGATCTCATATGAAAAGGTGACACAACTGATGATGTGCAGACTGACCTTAGAAGTTGTTTGGGATAATGCCAAGTAAAGCTGTTTTTGAGTCAGCCTTTTTCATAGTGATTCATGGTTCAACTCTGCTCCCTGTTGTTTTATACTGGTGTGTTTGCACTCTTTTCCCGTTGCATCTCAAGGTGAAGAAGGTTGGAGAGCTATAACTGATCCATGTACTGTGTTCTTCCCTCCAGCTTTGGAGAGTTTGATGAAAAACTAGCTGAGTGTCTGCTCAGCTTACCTGGGGTCTGGCTGTGTGCTCTGGAGCTGGGTCTTCCAACTCTTGTATGTGGTTTCTCAGTCCTCTGTATTTCATCTCTGCTGTTAACACAAGAGCACGGGAACTTCCATTGCAAAAATACACATTGGCTGAGAAATGGGGATGGTCAAAAGTACATGATTCTATGATTCTATGTCTGTGGTTTTAAACTGGAAGATCCCCATGTGTGTCCCCTGCCAAGGATGGTACTTTGGGTCACTTCTCTGCTGCTGCTGGGGCTGTGCCTTCTCAGGTGCTACAAGTGGAGCTGTGCATTACCCCACCGTGACACCCCACTATGGCTGCGTCCCGCCTGCAGCCAGGGTGTGCTCCTGAACCCACAACTCCTGAAGCCTTCCAGGGCAGAGGATGAGACACACTATACCAGAGAAGGAGGAAAGTGATACATAACTGAAGCCTGGCTTGTCTGGAGTGCTCTTTCGAGTCTCTCACTCTGTTGCTGGTCCTGCCCTCTTTGCTAAATGTACTGTTGTCAGAGCAGCTGAGGTACCCCGGGGACAAACATGATGGGAAGAGCCTCAGACACCACTGACCGATGGCCCTGCCTCTCTCCAGCAGTCAAGCCCTACCCATGCCGTGTTTCTCAGCTGGTGCCTGGCGTTCAGGGACCTCAGAGGTTGCATAAAGTTTAATAAATAATGCTGGTGGGTTAATTGTAGCTTGCAGGCTCTTCTGTTGATTAGAGTCATATGGTGTTTTTCCAGTACATCGCAGCCTTAATTTCAACATTCTTGTTTCATATAACCACAACAGATTATCTTTTTGGTCTCCTTTATTTGTGGTCCTCTGCCCCTGAAATGAACTGCTATTATAGAGAAGGGAACACAATAGCTTCACGTTTGCATGTTTGGGGATGCGTACATTTACATGTTTCCCAGTTGTGCTGATGAGGAAACCAATAAATTAGTCATACAAGGTGAACCCTGCCTCAAGTGATCCCACAGATGCAAGACTACTGCATGTAAACCAGTTATGCTGGAGTAATAGCAGTTCCTGTTCTCTGGATACTGTTTTGGGTTTAGAATTGCTGTCCAAAATAAAACTGCTATTAATAAAACAATTACAAAAGCAGTAAGAAAATGCTGAATGGTTGTGGTTTCCCTTCTCTCCTTTTGCAGGTAAAAGGATAGTTGTTAGATATATCAATAAACTTCTGTATTACACCTTGAATAGTTAAACCTCTTTTCATATCCCAGCTTCTTACCCCTTAATAATGAAAACCATTTACTAACTGTGAGGTGTTTTCTTAAAACTGAAGTTTGTTTATCATTGGTTTTACTCTTTGCTTTAATCTGTCTTTACAGTTACCAGGAAGGTGAAGGCTTTTCTCCATCATTGATTAGTTTGCTGTATTTCCTTCCTCTACGTGCAATATTTTACTCTCAGGTGCTACAGTTGGAATGTTGCAGCCATAAGAAACCATAAGAACCATAAGAAAGTTTAATTGCAAGTTTTGTGCAAGAAGTAACACTTTTAATTTGGTTCTGAACTTCCCATCATCTCTTGTCTGATAGTTCTCTCTGGACTTAATAGATTTTCATGCGGTGTTACTTTCAGCAAATCTTACGGATGTTTGAAGAAGTATTTTCATCTGTAAATGTAAATGATATAGAAAACCAAGGATGTTGGTGAATTAGTGTTGTTCTGACCCAAATAAGGAATATGCAGATCTATTTTAGGAGAGCAGCTGAAGATTTATGTCTTAATGGCAAAGCAAATACTTGGAAGCAAGTTTTAGAAAGGAAACGAGTGTTTATGAGCAGTTGTGATTCACTGAAGTCTGTGAAGTTTGCTGAGGACTTCTGTGTGTGGTGTTTTTTCTTGAACAGTTATGGAAATGTCTGCCTCTCCAAGAGATGCAATACAGAACTTGAACAGAATGGCAGGGGCTGTTGGGTCTCTCCCTGCATCCCACCCATGTTGTTTTTCACAGCAGTAGGAGACCGCAGTTCTGTAATTCATCAGATGGGGGCAGAGTATGTTGTCTTGCTTGTGTTTTTCCAGAGTCTATAAGGAGGTAAAAGCCACAACTATCTGAGGATAAATTATGGGCAGTGATTTTGGAGAAGATTCCTATATTTATAGTAGGTGATATTCTGTCTCATGAGGAAAACAGATAAGACCATTTGTGGATAAGGGTTTCAATGCAAAACCTGTAAGACCTCAGGTGGAATTTCTCACTCATGGTATTGTTTACTCTGAACTTGGTTGCTGAAGGCTGTTGAGAACAAATGGCTTTGAGCTGTGTACTGATGCTTAAAGTAGCAACTCAAATACTCTCTTCTTGGAGAGCAGGTTAGAGATGCCACCCCAAGGAAAGGATTGTAGTGGATGGCTGGACGTCTTTAGTTTGCCTTCGCAGTCACGCTAAGGAGAGCAATTGGCTGAGCTTGCATCTGCAAAATTATCCCTAGGAGAGGGGAATGGGATCAGAGATGTATCTTAAGTGTATTGCTAATTGGAAATATGGGGTGGTCCTGCTGCATATCTACATGGCTCTGCTGTGCTGCATGAGTGTAGGACCTCCATAGTCTCCTTATAGCTGATCCTCCATACCTTGCTCCCAGTGGTTCTGCATGTGTGAGATCCTAACAAACGCCAGTCCCTGCAAGTCGGTTTGAGATAATCCAAAGTTTGAGTAAGTTTTGTGAGATTGCCTTGGCATTGCATGTGAAGGAGGATAGCATCTGGTTTTGGAGAATCTTTTTAATTGGCAGGATAAATCCTCATCTCTTCTTCTGGAGAGTTCAGCAGCTCTGCCTTCTCTGGAATCATACAGAGAAATTAGCATTTAACTTCAGTGCTGAAGCAAGGGGAAACAGCGCTTGGCTTCTGTGAGGAATTTCAGGTTGACTTTTTAATATATATATATATATATATATATACACACACACAGACCTATCCACATCTCAGAATATGCAGGATAGTTGCTGCTTGCTTAATAGCTCACTTGAGTAATGTGCTGCAGCTGTGGTCTGGGACTGAGTACAGAGACTATAGTGAAATATGTTGAAAGGAGCATTCTTTAGTTCTTTGGTTTGCACTTAATCCACATGCCTTTAAATGGAAGAGAAAACTTTATTCTAAAAGGTAGCTAGGCTGGAGCCAAATGGGAAGGTAGGTGGTGGTGTCCATTTCTGATTTAGTTGTCCCTGCAGCATGCTTGTGTGCTCACTTCCCTTAGTGAACATGCTATATGATAGCTGTGTGACACTAACAGATATAGTGTTAACTTTCACATGATTCAGAAGATATTTCGGAGGAGACTTCCCCCCCCCAGCTCTGGAAAATGAATTATAAAGCATATCCAACTTTTATACTTTTATTATAACGCAGCTATGTTCCAGCAAAAGCTCCTGGCAGATAGTTTGCTCATACATTTCCAAATGAAGATGTGTTAAATTTATTTGCTGAAGGAGCTTGTAGCTTGTGCTGTAACCTTGGTCATGGGACTGGATATAAAAACAGAGGGATAGAAGCCCACTGAACAGCGGGAAACAAAGTGGAGCTGGAGCTGGAAATGTTATCAGACCGGGAAGGCAAAATGTATTGAATTACTTCAGAAGTCAATTTTGGACATGTGATTGTGGACATGTGGCTTCACTCACTGAATCCACGTGTAGTTCACACTGGTTGTGTGAGGTCAGGATGCACCATGGTTGCATAAAGGGGACCATGTGCCCCAAGAAGCTGGTGATAAAACAGTACAAAACCCTAAGGCCAGGTTCATTTCACATGCTCAGTCCTCTTTACCCACTAATCCTGTGCCCACTCATTTGTGCCTAAAAAGAGTTCCTCCTGCGGGTGGGTGGGAGGCTTGAGCTGTCCACCCCAAAAGAATCAGCAAAATACGTTGTTTTCTAAGAGGATAATATCCTGCTGATTCAGTGAGGGATTTAGGCAAGCCCTCACTGTTCTGTGTGTAATATGTATTTTTTATTTAGAGCTAATGGTGAACGTGGTTTGTGGAGGTTTCATTTTCCTGCTGTAAATACATATTGATTGAGTACGTTCTACATTTCACCACACTTCGTGCATCGAAATTTATTGCAGTAACCTTAAACCTATTCACAGTTCTTATTACAGAGGTGATTTCCTAGAATTTCTCATTTAGATTTTGCCAGAGCATTATTATAAAATGGGTACCGAAGCACTGGTCCACTCAGGTTAAATATCCCGACACGGTACATTGATTTTTGATGTGCTGACAATGTTGTCTTTGTAAGAAAACTGCTTCCCTTCACTGCTCCAGCCCAGGGGCTGTAGGGAGCAATTGTGTATTTCTTAGAAGGTGAAAACTCAATGTAGTTTTCTTTCCACTCTAACCTTGTTTCTTTTCCAGGCCCTGGAAGAAGCCCAGAAAGCCATTCAGCAGCTCTTTGGGAAAATTAAGGATATTAAAGACAAAGCTGAAAAATCTGAACAAATGGTGAGCAGTAGTTCCTTCCTAACCTTGGAAAGGGAGCGGGGCACTGACTTTTGCTTCCAATTCTCCTTAAGGAGGGAACATTTTTGTCCCAGGCCCTTCTGACTGGGTGATAATTTGCTGCCAACCATGTGTTGAACCTGTGCCCTTGTTTGTAGGTTAGCCTGGTTGAAGAGCTAATGTGTCTGTAGTCCTGAAAAGAGGAGGGTACTTCTTATCTCCTTAAAATTTTGTTGCTGTGGCTTGATGCTTCACCAGACTCTTGTTTTTTTTATGCACTAGGTTAAAGAAATCACACGGGACATCAAGCAGTTAGATCATGCCAAGCGTCATCTGACCACCTCCATCACCACCCTCAACCACCTGCACATGCTGGCGGGGGGTGTGGATTCACTGGAGTAAGTATGTGAATTTTTAGTGGTACTTCGTTGCCACTGCTGAGTTCTTAAGTTTGGTGCAGTGCTCTAAATAGGTCTGTAGCAGCTGCTTGTTTTTCTGGAGGGAAGTTTGCTTAATAGGTTGCAGTCGTGATTTTTGCTGGCAGATCCTTTCTGTGTTGCTTCGAGTGACCTGCAAGCTGTGTTGCTGTATTTAATGGTTTGCAGCATCGATTGCTTGAATTGCTGTGTTGATCCTGGGTGATAAGGAATGAGTCTGGCTTCATTAAAGAGTAAGTCTGTGCAGTTAGATATCCTCATCAGGGATATGCTGTTCAGGGATCTGAGGGCATTTTTATCAGTTTTATGTCTTACACTGGAACGAGTTCTTTTTCAGGGAGGTCTACTGTAGTTCTGAGAATGAGTTTATAAAGCATCCTTACAGCTTGTACTCTCTATGAAGGGGGTTAGATGTTTCTAATAGTCCTCTGTGGGGTTTTTTTAATGTGCTTGAGGAGCACACAGGCTGGGGACATTCAGTCTTTCGCATGTTGCATGTGAAAGTTGGGAGACCCAGGCACAGCCTGTGCTTGGATTGTAGCAAATGAACCCTGGGTTCTTAAGTGTTCAGAATAAAGTTTTACTTAGGCTACTGGCTCCAGTGGAATCATCTTAAAGGATGAAATACAAATACATTTTATTTCTTTCCTGTCACTTCCCTGTGAAAGTTATTAGCAGAAAAGTCAAGGTTAACAGCTTTTCAGCATAATCATCCTCCTCCCTGTGAAGCTTTAGCTCACACTTTCTGTCTGGTGACGAATGGCTTAACTCGGGTCATTACAGTGAAATAACATTTACTGCCTCCGGACCCATACTGGGAAGCGGATGCATTCAGGAGTTTACATGTTCTTTGCCAAGCCTTGCTTTTGACATTTATGTTTTTGAGGCACTGTTAGATGTGTGCTGAATTGGTTTATTTTAGTATCAGTTAAGTGAAATTTTAATGCTGCATTGGAATGTTAATGAAGAGTTGTGTATTTTAGAAGGAGAAATGTCAGTAGGGACTGGCATGACCCAGTGGGGATGAGGTAACCTGTGGAATTACCACCCAGGATTTTCATCAAATCTGCCTTTGTAAATCTTTAATTTCCTCTACAGGGCTATGACCAGGAGAAGACAATATGGGGAAGTTGCCAACCTTCTCCAGGGTGTTGTGAATGTGTTAGAGCATTTCAACAAATACATGGGGATTCCTCAGATTCGACAGCTTTCTGAAAGGTAAAATGGTCAAACCCTGAGCACTTGCATGCTTGCTGGGAAGGGAGGTTAGAGAATGCATTAGGCAGAATCCGTGTGTCAGGGATGTAAAGTCTGGACATGGTCCTTAGAGCTTCTTTCAAGCCAAAACAAATAGGTTAAAATTGGACGCAATTTGCTCAACTCTTGAGCAGCCTATTCTGTTACATAATAGTAATTAGTACAGGTATAATTAGTGACAATTCTGTGTTTCTCATTGGCTGGCTTTTAACTTACTGAAGTAATCTGTGGGAGTGTAGATTGATATAGGTGATCTTCATGTGCAGGTGTTTGAACCCTTAGGTGATGCTTTCTCCTGCTTTCTTGACCTCAGTGATACAGTTCAGCAGCCTGGCATGAAGCAGAAATATATACATTAACATCATGGTGCCTGGGACTCTTTCTGCCCAGAAATGTGCTTTACTGGTATCAAATTGCTGTTAAGATGCACCTTTGCCTGATGCTTTAGGCAGGCAGGATTTCTTTTTGTGCATTGTCAAAACTCAGTTATTCTGGGCACCTTGAGTTTCTTCTGCCAAAATCTGCTCCCATTGCCCAGTTCTGTTGAGATTTGAGGCTTATAGCAAATCCTCCCAAAACTGCATGCAGTACACCTTGGCTGCTGAGTTTATGTAGTCTTGATTTTCTAATGTGCAGTCACACATTTACATTTGGTGAGTTTTGATGGAGCTCCAGCAGCAAATGCCCACAGTTCTCAGCAGTAGCCTGATCTCTGAGGGTCTTCGCTTCATTGGAAGGTGACAGATGGGTGTCAAGCAAATGAGGCCCTCTCTGTTCTAGGGGCCATTGCTGTCCCTGGCCAAAACCTACTCTTTCTGATTTACAGGAGGCTTTATTTCTCTTACATCACACACAGAATGTTTGCTTAACAGCCTGTAGTAGTGCTGAGCATATAGCTCAGAGGTGAAAATAGCCTTTTAACATTAGGGATGAACCTTCTTAATGATACAGCCATACCTGAGATCATGTGAGAGTTGCAAATGTATCACCACCATCCTCTTGATGCCTGAGGTGACTTTGCTCATTACAGAGGTACTTGAAGGAGCCTTCCAGGCACAGTAATTAATGGTTTTGGTAACTCCTCTTGCTAAGACAGCAGCTGGCTGCCTGTGCTGTTCAGTGATGGAAACAGTGGTTGAATGATTTGTTTGTAATATTTTCATCTGTTGGCCTTTCTTTATGGTATAGATACCTCTTCCAGAAACCCCAGATGGAATCCATGAGATGGAGCAACAGAAAAATTCACCCTAAGTCTAGAGAGAGAGAGATGGGGCCTTGTTTTAACAAAGCATTTGGCCATAAGCATTTGCTTAAATGAACATGACCATCAAGGAAATATAAACATACGTCAGGGCTTTCCTGAATTTAGGCTGTTGTCTATTCCAGCCTCATGCTCAGAAAGATAATTTGCTTCATTTTCTTCGAGTGGTAACACCCTTGGGCAGAAACCTGCTGTCATTGGCCGTTTTAAGACCAAATATAATTTAAGCCCCAGTCCAGAATTTTGGCTGGTTTTCTGATGGATGATTATTTAATACTTTTGTAGCTGCCGATAATTAGAGCAAACAGTTCAGGCTGCTGCTAGAAGGCGCAGTGGTTTCGAGTCACGCCAGAGAGACTGGCAAGGACATTGGGAGAAACTTCTTTTGTTTTATTCTCCCTTCAAGATAAGGATCTGAAAAGCTCAAGAAAGTCTGTTCCTCCTATTTTTAGAATTGCCTCGGCAGGGTTTTCCTTCCAGTGTTTACACAGGGAGAGTTGCACCATCTGGTAGCGATAGAAGCGGCTGCTTGTGGGGTGAAAGAAGAGCTACACTCAGGGTGTTGCTGGGTTCTCTTTACTGCTTTGACATCCAGGCAGCAAATCACTACAGGGAGGTCTATGGCACGGTAATATCTGCTTTGGAGTTTGACTACACGTGTATGTATTAGGGCCCAATTTGGAGTTGAGTTTTCACTCTCTTTTTGCTTGGGAAATACATTCGTGGTTCATGAAACATCAAAGGAAGTTTGCCTGGCTTCTTGCAGGGCTATTTTTAGACTGTGAAATTGCTGGGGTTTGATATCTCATGAATTTGGTTTAATGGTACAAATGAAGCCTCTGAGATGTTTGTGAAAGCAAGAAATGCGTTAGTAGATGTTGGCACAGACCTGTGACAGTAACCGAAGTCTATTATATACAATAAGTCATTATATACACTGTGAAATGAGCAGAGTCTGTTGCTTTCTTTAATAAAAGAGCCTCTCTTTCTTGTTGTGAATGCAGTGAAGCCAAATATGAATGGGAAACCATGGGAAGAAGTGCCTGCTCCAGGGGTGTTGGATGTGCTCTTTGTCATAGGGTATTCAATTGAGGTTCCTGCTTCTTGATGCTGTGAAAACTAATGATGTATTTTTAATGTTGTTTTTCACCTGTTCTGTCCCTTTGAAAATAACCAAACTCCCTCTTTAAGTATTAATTGGAAACCTGGACTGAAGTCTCAGAGCCAACAAGAAGTTGGCTTCTTGTGGTGATCCTGTTGATTTAAAGTGGCACAATTCATAGTCAAATGTAAATATTTTCCTAATCATGCTCTTAAACCAACTTCTTGTAGAGTGCATTGGAAGTTGTTTGTTGTAGTAAATAGGAATATTTTGTTTTCTGTCAATCCTCTTCTGTTTTCCGTCTCTGGAAGGAGTGTATAATTAGCAGTTACAAACCCACCCATGACAGTGGCTGAGAAAGCCTAGCAGATAGTGGAAAAAAGCCTGGAAAGTATTTAGGAGAAAGATGATTATAAGTTTGCCACAGAAAACAGGCTGGCTCAGCCTCTTTTTATCTCACCGAGCTGCCAGGCCTAGTTTAAGATTTCTGGTAGCTTTGGCTAAAGGAATTGTGGTTTCTAGTAATTTGATGTCATTTGAAACATAACAGTGGGTTTTCTTGTTTTTATGTTTCTTTAAAGGCGGGGAAATGGGGGAACAAAAGCCACTAATAATAAAACAAAGGTCAGAGAAACAGAAATCACTAACACTTGGGTAACCAAAGGTTTTGGCACATGCAAGCAACCCCAGGAAAAGGCAATTCCCTGCTGTGGCAAACCGTGATTATTGCTGTCGTACCCCTGCACACTGCCAGGGGGAATCTAGTCAGGAAAGATATTCTAGGAAGAGATCCTAAATCTGTTATCAGCTGAGAGTTGCTGGGGTTGCTTTAGTAGGCAGTTCCCTTCCTGCAAGTGGTTAAACACACACACTTCTCTACACTCGTGCAGAAATGGCCCTTCAGCAGTGAATGCGAGTGAAGCCGGTCATGGGGTAGAGGCTTTTATCACTGCAGTTTCCATTGCATGAAGATTATTCTGAGTTATCAAAAGCATTACAGCTTTACATGGGGAGTAATAATCCATAGTGGCTGAAGCAAGTGCCTTCCTGTGTTCTCTACCTAAAGCAATCGATCTGGGGAGAAATGGCATAAAGGTTTTCATGTTTCTGGGTGCCTGTTCATGGGGAAAAAGTAATCATGTGTGCCTCATGTGTGTGTGCTTGTGTGAAGAGGGATAGTTACTGGGAGGGCAGTGAGGGTCCCTGTCACTGCTCACACATACCTAAACCTTTGGCAACTTAAGTGTCTATTCTATCCCCATTTTAGAAAATATGAAGGAAAAATCCCCCCTAAAACTCATTTTCCCTCTTTGAGAGATTTTTAAGCCAGACAGAAATATGTAGCTTTAACATCCCAGTTCAAGGCATTCCTGCAAGTTTCTTATTTTAAGGATATGAGAATCCCTGTTAAGACTATCCTTAAGTACTTTCCTGAATCGGAGCCTAAAACAACAAAGCCCACGGACAGAGCTTTTAACTGTTTGACAGGGCTGCTTTTAAATTTGTTGAGTCTTCAGGAATCTGGCTGCTGCTCTACTCAGTGCCTCCTCTGTGCTCCCTGCAGCTGTTGTCAAATACGAAGGTGGCTGTAGCTGGTTATAAGGAAAGAAGTACAACAGCTAATAACTTGTTTATAAAGTCTCATTTATTTCTGCACCTCATAATGCTGAAGAGTTCTTGTTCCTTGATTATTTCAAAGATAGAAATTTTCAGTCCAAGTTTAGCATCTTTCTTTCTTCCTTTTCCCCTCCTTTTTCTTAAAGATCAAAGGGTTTGGTTCTGTGATGCTTTCTTACATGAATTACTAGTGCTTGCTTGTACAGTGTAGGCAGGATTATACCCGTAGTTGTGGCTGTTGGGCTGGGTTACTCCTTACTGCTTACATTTCCCACTCCTATTTCAACATACTAGTGAATCTCTTTTTGTTTCACAGGTAGGAAGGTGTTAACTATGGATCTATGCCTGGGAGAGTAGAAGGATTTCTAAACATTCCTGTGAAGCAGAGAGCTTAAATAAAAATTACATTTGACATTGCAGGCAGGAAGCTTTTCCAGCAAAATCCCCATATATAAATCCTGGATAAGGCAGGTCATACATAAAGTTAAATCACAGATCTGAAGTTATATTTCATTTAAAGGACTAGAATTTTCTGCATTTGGCACCATTAGAGAATCCAGCCTGTTCTCCAACGTTGTCAGGTCATCTTGTAGAGTTTCACCACTAATGGACCTCAAGTGGGAAGATTAAAGAAGCAGTTCAGTCTTTGATAAGGCTGAGGAATCGTAATAAAAGGAATCCAAGTCTTCTCCCCACAGTCTGAGCAAACATTTTGTCTAAAGTAAATGTAGCCACTCATTGTGACATCTCAGCCTCAGTGGAAAAATCCACTGCTTTGAGTGATCAGTTTAGGCCTTAAAGCATTTCCAGTATAATAAAAAGCGATGGAAGAATTCAAGAGCTGCAGAGGGACATAAGTGCCTAACTGTTTGTTTTGGCTTCTTCCAGTGTGTGTAGGCATTTCCATTTCCCTAGAAGTATCAATTAAGCTATATTGACTTTTATTTCTGGAAATGGGAAGCTTTCTTCTCTCAGCCAGATAAAGAGCAAGGTTGTGGTTTGTTCAAAACTTTTTCACCCATTTCATACCTTTGTTTTTTTATGCTTCTTAAGACGTGGAGGATTTATAGGATAAAAGTGCAGCCAACAGTATTCACATGGATGCATTGGAAAGTAGGTCAGTGTACCTGGAACTCTGAAAGGTTAATGATGAAGCTTGAGATATTGTGAAGCTTTTTATATGTTAGAAACACGCTTTCGGTGAAATGTGATCAACATACACAGATGTAAAGATGGGTCGGTCACACTGACTTTAAAGGAACCCTCCTGATTTCTCAGCTAATTAAGAGGCCCTTATTGAAATACTAAATTACAGCCAGGTTAAACCATCTAGGACACGTTCTGCTACAGCTCAGGGATTCATGCTGTAGAGCTGGAGTTGTCATCCTGGTGTCATTCATGGACCAAATGCTCTCCCAGTTTTGCCATGCAGGCCTTCATGGATGGATGAAAGATGTTTTCTCTTTAGCATGCCTTTTTTTCTTTTTTTTTGTCCCCTAGAAACCTGTGTGTATCTGTTAGTGTTTCAAACCACTTTGTAGTACTGTTTGCAGGCAATGACACAAGGAAGTTGTACCACCAACAAAGCCTGTGCTTTCTCTGTCTTCATCAGGGTGAAAGCAGCACAGAATGAATTGGGACAACAAATCTTGGCTGACTTTGAGGAAGCCTTTCCTTCTCAAGGTACAAAGGTAAAGTTCTCATTTCCCCTCTTCCTCCCATTGAATATGTTGTTGAAAACTATTCAATGTAATTGGCATTGGTTTAAATCTCATTTTACATCTAGACTGGATATCTCTCTCTTTCAGCAGTTGTTTTAGAAAGCAAACAAATCTCCCAGGCTGTAGGGTGCCAGGTATATTTCTCACTGCTTATGTCTAGTATGGGAGAGAAATTACACCCTTCCTCTGTCACACTGTGACACATCTATTGCAGCAAGGTCTGCAAGCCAGTCAAGGAATGCGCCAAGCAAACCATGTCTGGCCCTGCAGACCAGAGTGTGGTTCCCTCAGCACCTCACCCAGCTTACTGGTTATTTGTTGGACACACAAAGGTTTGTGTTGTGTTCAGAGAAAGCCAAGCACAGGCTGTTTGTTGACATGCTGCCACCAAGTTTGTCTTCGGTTTAGTCAGCACAGCTACAAATCTGGGCTAAGGCTGAGGCACCAAATGTGCTTTCCCAAAATTATGCATCCAAATGTTTGCAAACAATCTGTGGGGTAGGTGTGAATTGAAATTTACTTCAAGGAAAATACTAGTTCTGTCTTCCAAAGTACCGGGTCTGCTGGTTCCTTTATAAAACTAACAAGTACGGAAATGCAGAAACTGTTTGGAACAGATCCTTAATGAAGGGCAAATCTGTGTCCACATGAAACGGCATCAAAAGAGCTTTTTTTGAAAGAAGTTTCCAATTTTCCTGTCTTCTCCACTAACATCATGGTTTGTGCCAATACAGACCAGCAGATGCTGCTTTATGTTGCAAATTGATCATCTGTAGACTGCTTTTTTCCCCACATTAATTTGGCTTTCAGGTTTGCAGAAAAGGGGTTTGCTTTTCCCACTTGTCAGCCACATCTCTTAGCTGTTCCTCAGAGTATCTAGGCTGATGAAAGGCTTTGCAGAAGTGATGGGACAACAGTTCTTTCTGTAGGTGGAGCTGGCAGCTTTTCTGTGGTGAGGAGCTTCCTGGCTGCTGAGCTGTAGAACAACTAGATGGCCAGTGAAATGGAAGCAGCTCAGTTTTCATCCCAACAGAAGAAAGATGCCTATGTGATAATAAAGAGTAACAGCAGAAGCATTAAGGAGAGAATAATGGGAAAGGATAAAAACAAGATAAGCTGCATACTGCAGGGTAACCTGCAGTGCAGTTTACAATCACCCATTCAGCTATTTAACCTTAAAACATTTGTTCCTGTTTATTTTGATAGAGGCCTGGCGGACCCAGCAATGTCCTACGTGATGCGTGTCTAGTCGCCAACGTCCTGGATCCCAGAATCAAACAGGAAATCATCAAGAAATTTATTAAACAACACCTCTCAGAGTATCTGGTCCTTTTCCAGGAAAACCAAGATGTAAGGAAAGCTTAGCAAGCTCCATTTGGATTTCGCATTTTGCTGGCATTCACGGAGGTCACGTTTCCACAGGTTCCTGTGGTGAAATGTTTCTAACGTGAGGGCTCAGGAGCAGAGATGTGTGGGTGTGGGATGAACTGACTGATGAGCTGGGAGTCAATGTCATCTCTCCCAGGATGACTTCCCACCTTAGACCTCACTTTCATGTACCAGCACTGGAGATGTTTCCCCCACCTACAGTAATAAAGAAATTTGAGTTTATAAACTTTCTGCCCTTTAAAGGGTTGAAAAATCAAGCGTTGAAAATTGCAGACCTAAAAACTTTGAAAAACCAGACTTCCCCCCAGGCAAGTAAAAAAAAAACCCAAACAACCAAAATGCCTAAAAAAGGGGGGAAGAGATTTCCAGAAGTGGATTAATCTTTGCAGCTAATTTTTAAGCTTCCTGAGCTGGTGCTAACAGCTTTGAAAAATTTACTATAATCATCTTGAACCTGAAAAACTACCAAAGGACCAACCACAAAACCAACCTTGAATCAAAATGTGGTTTAACAATTATACAATTTTAACAGTTTGTGACAAAGAGGGGAAAAAAAAAGCTAAAATGCTTCATTTTAAATAGCATTTTCCCATCAAAGCTTGTTTTTATTAATCTTGCAACTTTCTGACCACAAAGCAGTAATGCTGAGGAGGAAAAAAATCCCATCCTGCTCATGTTAGAGGAATTGTTGTAGAAGTCTCCGTATCCACGGTCCAGCTGAATGGAAGCATCCAGGAATTCCTGCGTTCTCATCCCACTGTTGACTTTAACCTCTCTTTCTGTGAAGCAAAGGGGGTGGGATCAAATGAGTTATTTATGGAGTGAGTTTTCAATAGTACCTATGTGATTTAGGTTTGCTGTTATCCTCGTTTTCAACAGAACTTGCTCTCTTAATTCTCAGAAGATAGAGTTTGCAGTCTGGCATGTGTTTAAGCACTTTGAATCATAGAGTAATTTAGGTTGGAAAAGACCTTTAAAATCATCAAGTCCAACTGTTAACCCAACACTGCCAAGTTCACCACTAAACCAGGTCCTTAAGTGCTGCATCTATGCAACTTTTAAATACCTCCAGGGATGGTGACTCCACCACTTCCCTGGGCAGCCTGTTGCAGTGATTGACAGCTCTTTCAGGGAAGAAATTTTGCCTAATATCCAGTCTGAACTTCCCCATACGCATCTTGAAGGATTCAAAGAGCTATTAGTAGTGGTCAAGTTAGCTTGGATCAGTAACACAAACTGATCTGTGAAAATGCAGCAGCACAGGTAAGTAGTCAGGCTGCTGCTGTTTAAAGATGATGCTGTCCATCTTACTCAGGTGGCCTGGCTGGATAAGATCGACAGGCGCTATGCTTGGGTAAAGCGTCAGCTGGTGGACTATGAGGAGAAGTACGGGCGGATGTTTCCCCCGGAATGGTGCATGACGGAGCGCATCGCTGTGGAGTTCTGCCATGTCACGAGGTGAGTGTCTGGGGACATGCCCTGTGATGCCTCCCAGCAGTGTCACCTTCCTTAAAACAACAGTTTGGCTTGTCTTTTGCCAAACTGAGCGTTTATCCATAGGACTCTAAAGGCAGTCTTCAAATATCTATGTAGATTTCTCTGTGATTAAGAGCAAGTGAAGAGTGAAAACCCTGAGAAGCATCACTAAAACTGCATGTACTGTTGTGAGTGAGATACTGTGGGAATCAATTTTCAATGTAACAGAGGTAAAACTCAGTAACATTGGAGACCAAGTGAAGCTGACTGCCTCAGACCATGCTTTTCGCCAGCCAGAAATAGGGGACCAGCAGAAAGTGCCAGCTGGAGTCTCAGGAGTACCATTGCCTTTGTTCTGGGACCCCAGTCAGAGACACTACAATTCCCAAAGTTTGATCCTGCAGGCTTTCCTGGCTGCAGCGGGATGCTGGCTATTAGGAGATGGGGTCCTGTTGCCCACAAAGCTCTGAAAAACTGTGATTATGTTTGAAATGTGATCTGTAAAGCAGTTTTATGTTAGAGAGCATCTTAGGAATTAGCTTGACTTTTTCTGTGATGAAAGTCTGTCTAGGGAATAGACTGAATTACAGTGTTAGATTTCAGATCTTTCTCCTTATAGAAAACCACATTTGTTTTTTCTATTCCCCTGGTCTTCCTTCTCTCTTTCAGGACAGAGCTTGCTAAGATAATGCGCACGAGAGCAAAGGAGATTGAGGTGAAATTGCTTTTGTTTGCGATTCAGAGGACAACCAACTTTGAAGGACTTCTGGCTAAACGCTTCTCAGGGTGCACTCTGGCTGATGGAACAGTGGTAAGGGGATTTGTAAGAGCAGCCCTTTACTCAACAACGTCTTTGGGAGAAAAAAATCCCTCTCACACATAGCTATGGGAATGGGAGGCTGCAAAAGGTGCCGCCTGCAGCCTCCTTTTGCACTTGTTAAGGGTGTTTAGTGTGATGTGCTCAATGGCTTGTAGTTGGGAAAGCATTTCTTGATATTGACTGTGGCAGAGAGCTCACAAGAAGGAGAAAGGACACTGTCTGTGTACTTTTTTGGTTCTCCTGAGCCCTGTGCTGTTTGCAACTGAAGTCACATTGCCAGGGAGAACCACAAAGTAATTATGGCATGGTGACTGCGTTATAACATTTGTTCTCTGCATGGTGATGACACATCATAACTAAAAGTTCCCTCTTGTCTTCATTTCTAGCTACCACACACTCACCACATGGTACCAACTTTCAGTCCCGCATTGTCTGTTGGGTTAGCCTTACTTGCAGGCGCATTAGTGGTTTCTAGTTTTCAGTGTCTCATTTGTTAGACTGTAAAGTCAAAGCCAAAAGAAATAGCTCAGTCAGTATCTCTGGGGCCATCTCTGTTCTTTTTCTGCCTGAAATCTCAGCCAAGAGCTCTGCCAGCCAAGTGCCCTGGGAACACAGAGTCCACATGTGACTCAGAAGCTGCTGGTTTGAGGTTGGCTTCTGTGACCAGCTGGTGTCTTGAAGCCTACATGGATGTGACAATTCAGCCTATGAGGCAACTCTGCTGGACCCACTTGTAATTTGCTGTGAATCAGTAGGTGCCGCTAATTAAAAAGGGAAGTCCTGTAAGGTTTTCCTTTTGGCTGAATTTAGGTCTTTCAAGAATTTGGCTTTATTTTTCTGACAAATTTCATAGGGGATCTGCAGCTGTGATTAAATGGCTTCACTGGGTTGTTGTCCCTTTGGCGAGGGTAGGCACAGAGGCTGTTACAACTGAGAAAACCAGGAGGAGAGTGTGTAGTTTGCAATAAAAGAAAGTGTTTTGTCCCCTTTCTGATGTGCCTGGGGGCTCTGACACACTGACAGTGGGTGAGCGTAGGTGTTAAGAAGTCCAGGCTTCTTGCAGTGCTCAAGATGAATGTGCTGATGGAGCAGTGGAGAGGAGCCAGACTCATGCCCTGTAGTAGGAAGGAGTGTGCTGTAACTTTGATGAAGAGGCACTGCCTGGCACTCTGCAGTCACCTCTGTGTTTGGAAAAGACAAACTCTTCTACAGAGCTTTGAAGTAAAGCAAAACAGACTGTTCTCTAAGGAGCTTCCTCTTTTTTAACAGAAGAAGCCAGAAGTGCCACCTCCCTCCACCAACCCGTTTCTGGAGGATGAAGCTGGGACAGAGACAGATGAGATTGTGATTGAGAAGAGTGATACGGACAAAGTAAGTCTTTGAAGTTCTCCAGTTGTCAGTGAGGCAGTCTCTGTGTTAAAATCTCTAGTGATGCCTAAGCTTTTCCCATCACATAGATTTGAAGGGTTTGTTTGCACAGCAATTAATTTAGTGCATTTTTGATCCTTTGGGCAGTATATACTCCCAGTACACCCATGGTTTGCTCTGGCTCACTTCACTGAAACCAAAGCAATCTTTATTTCAGTTAATAGTGCGGAGACAATCTGCCACATGAGAGTGAGTTGGATTCTGTTCTAGGCCATACAGCAGTGGCTCAAATGTAACTAAGGATTTCTGTCAAAGAAAGATGAACTAACAGAGTTGGGTTGTCTGATCCCAGAAGAAGCTCCCACTATGAACAGTTGCAATTCATATTTTTCCTTGTCAGCCAGGCAAACTGAGCCTGGAGTCAGCAGGCTACTCATTGAACTTTCAAGTGTCAGTTTTAGATTTTCACTCTAGATATATTACTTCTGGGATTTTTATCTCTACAGCGCTTTTCATCTATTACCTCTGCAAAGCAGGCAACACCTAACCACTTGTAAAAGCACTGGGTTTCCAAAGCCCTCTGCAAACATTAAAAGGAGTGAATAGTAAGCACCATTGTTTTAATTGGCACCAATATCAAAGCCTGTAAGCCCCATACTTTTTACTCGCCAGATGGACATTTTTTAAGTGTTCGGTTGTAAGTTGTTCAAGGCAGGTACCCTCTTCTTGTTTAGTGAGTTTACAGCCCTGTAAACGGCCCATTTGCAGGTGGTATCCTGATGGATGTCCAGGCCCTGAGACCTGCTCAGATCAATGCCACTGGGGAGATCTGGGGGGTGGTAGGTCTCCACCAGCACAGTTTGGTGCACTGCATCCCCTCCAGATTTTCACATGAGCAGGGCAGCCCTCTGCCTTCCATCCCAGCCCAAGTCCTGAAATACAATGATGAAGAAAAGTTTTGCTCTTTCCATTAAAATACAACTTGGGCAGTTATCAGTGATGTGGAAGACAGAGATTGGGAACTCGGGGAGACAGGTGTGTGATGAGTTCTTTGTGAAGAGCTTGCTTTCCACTGTCTGTAATGGCTGGGAGAAGGTTGGCTCTGGTGTCTGGTGGCATCTGATGATGGCTCTGTGATTACATCCTTGGAGAAGTTAGTGGTGCTAGAAGACACATGAAGAGATAATTACGCTAATTAGGCTGCTTAGGGCTGATTGCGTTGAACAGTGGAATGCACTGGCTAGGCCAGAAGCACTTCTGAGAAAGGAACTGCTCTCCTTCCTGTATGTGGGCAGGCTGGTACGAAGCCATCCGTGAAGCTATCCCTTGGGATGCCATTTGTAGTGAGGTTGCCCTCTCTTTCTGGTTACACCCTGTGTTAACCCTCACAACACAGTCTTGGGCTCTGCCAGATGGGAACACCATAGGGCTCCCATTTCAGTTTCAAAAGCACTAACATCTGGTGGTTAGTGCTGGTGAGTTCGTGTTGGAGGTCTCCTGCTGTAGCTAGCTGAAGAAGAGAATGAACAGGAAGAGTTGAAGATGAAGAACTTGAGTGATAGAGTTCTTCCAAGACACTAGTCCTGAGAATTTAAGACACTAGGGAGTGTAAGAGGGAGCACAAGAATATTTTTTTCTGGGGGAATCCGTGTTAAAAAAGGACCTCTTTTAGTAATCCCAGCAGTTCAATTTAATCTGTTTACTTTGGGTAGTAATGAAAGGAAACTGGGCCAGCTGCAGACCTCCTTACTGTGACAACAGTAACCTTTATTATTTCCATCAAACTCAAGGAGGAAATAGCTTAAACATCTGCAACTTTTGGACAGGATTGCACTCTCCGAAACACAGCTTCACTGCTACTGTTAAAAGATTTAGTATTCTCTCCACCAGACGTGCTGGGAGCAGCATGATGCAAAGACACACATGCACACACACAGAAAACCAGTCCTGCAAGAGGAGCTGGCTCTTCCAGCCTGGTAAATCATAAACATTGGGAATCTGCAACCTTGTGCTGGCGCTGCCATCCTGGAGACTTGGCCACTGGAAGGTTGCTGTATTTGCCACCTATTGTTTCCCTGCTGCTCCGCTGAGCGTGTGCATCCGGCAGAAATGGGCAGGCCCTGGCAGAGGGGTTAGGATGCAGAATGCTGGATAGTGGCTCTCTCCCAAAGCTGTAAAAACTTACATTCTTCAGTCATGCTCTTAGTGAGAAGGTTAATGAAGCCAGCCTTACAGACGTGGTCTGGTCTCCATAAGACCGTTTGCTCACTTCATGTTTGCAGCCATATGTTAGTATTCATTGTATCTTTGACACGATTGTTATTTCTGAGCAATGCTTACCTAGTCATTCTGCAAAAGACTTAGTGCCACCTCCTCTGGCATTTAGGAAAGTATGCCCTTGAGGGTCTCTTGTTTTGCTTTTCTTATGCTTAAAAGAAAAAAAATCAATTGGAAAAATTCGTATCTTCGTTGGCTGGGAGCTGATCCTGGCTTTTTTGTGTAGAGAGGCAAGAATTCCATTCCAGAGTCACAGCAGCCCTCTTTGCAGGGAGGGAAAACATGTCAGCTTGTCGGGGAGCAACAGGAAAGATTGTCTATCAATAAAAAACAATAATAAAAATGTGGCTGTAGGGCAAAAATGAACTTAAAGGCTCTGCCCAGCCTGGTACTTGAACATGCAGAGGTGTAAGCATATGAGTAGTCCCAGTGACTTCAGTGAGATGAGCATGGCCACTGTGAGCAGTGCAGTACTAAGCTAAAATGAGAGTAAACCGGATGGCTCCCAAATTGTATGTGCTTAAAGCTCTAAATTGGCTTTAAAATACAAGTCTTTGCATCCCCAGAAATGTGCTTCACAGTGAAAGCATTCCGTAATGTTGTCTATATAATTCCAGCTCCTCTAGTAATTACATGCTGTTTATCTAAATAAAAACATCCAGATGAAGTCTGTAACTTTGAGTTATTCTCTTTTAATGTTCTAAAATGTAGGGATTTTTCGGTGTTTCTTCTAAATTAGTGCTGCATTTCATTTCAGAGGTGACTAGTGGAATCTTAGTACTATTCAAAGGGTTCAGCAAGGTTTTATTTACAGACTGCATTAAGATTCTTCTACTGAAACCTGTTAGCATGGAGCAGCCTTTAAGGATAGGAATATCTGGCAAGTGAAAAGATAATTCCTTGAAATACTAGCAGCTCTGTAAGAGGAAGGGAAGACTTGGACATGTGGACCTTGTATATACTGTCAGTTACATGCCTTTGATTATTTGACAGCAAATTTCTGTGTTGTAATAGTTTTAAAGACTTAAATCCTTCTGTGCTGTTGCATTGCTGTTTCTTCTTGGTCTTACAGGGCACATTTGAAACCAACACTCTAAATGTTTTCTTACAGCCAAAGAAGCCAAAGGTCCCTGACAACCCTTTCCATGGCATTGTTTCCAAGTGCTTTGAGCCTCACCTTTACGTGTATATTGAGTCTCAGGACAAGTGAGTAACCAGCATGGACTTTTGGGTTTGTTTGAGTTTGAAAGTGCATTGCAGTTGGGTTGTGCTCGATTCCATACTCAAGCTTCAGAAAACTCATTTCTTGAAAGTCTGCTTTCTGATGTCTTCACGAGCAGTGTTCATGGTTCAAGAAAGAATGAGTGGGACCTTTGCTTGGGCGAAAATTAGTGTTCAGAGGGCTGTGGATGTTGGTTTCATTTGGAATTGCAAAGGCCTGCAGGAATGATGCCCATTGCCTTTCTGCGGAAGAAGCTTAGTGTTTGTGAAATTGCTTCTGTTGCCTGTGCAATTCCCACTGCAGACATACGCCTTTCTTTTGCCTCCTGTCTTCCACAAATAGTAGGTTTGCTTTTTCTGTAAAATACACATGTGGCTTCCTGGCAGAGGACTTTCAAGATTTGCTTTGTACAAATAAGTTATTGAGATCCTCAGATGAAAGCTGCTGTAGATGAGCTGGCTGTAAGATAACATTATCATTGCTCACAGACTGGGACTTTGTCAAGGGCTTTAATCCCTGGAACCCTTCTTCGCTTTCCTCTTTGACTTGCAGCAAAATAACTTGAATGAAAGAAGCTTTCAGCTTAGAGCTCTGAGAAGTTTTTTTAGAGTTCTCACCACACTTTCTTGTGCACGTTGGTTCACACCAGGGTTTATATAACATCTCTGTAACAAGTGCAGTGCCAAATGGGAGAGGAGGTAGTTGAAAAATGTTCAAAACAGTCTTTTAGTGCATGTGAGTGCCTGGAAAGGAGAAAGAGGTGCCTGTGTCATCTAACTCATCTGGCTATGCCCTTCTAGCTTCGAAGGACTTACACATGAGAGAGGGCATATAACTTGAGGCTTGTAGTGCCCTGATTTTGCCCAAACTCCAAGATAGCCACTTGAAAAAGCTTTCCCATGTCTCATCAACCTTTTATGCTTTAAATTAAACAAGTAAATAAACCTTGCACAATGGTCTGTCATGCTAGGTTTAGTTTCTGCTCTGCAGTGTAACAAAGGGAAACAGATATTTCCCCCCTGTGCCCTCTGCCAACTGAGCATTAACTTGTTTGAATATTTCTTCTCTTCTCACTAGGGGCCATTTTAATCCCCGTTTTGGTAATTCTACCCCACTGTGCTCCTAGCCCTTTCAGTTGCCTTTTTTTCCCTTTTCCTTTACAATCATGAGATGGTTTATATTAGCTTTATAGCCCCAGGCTGTGAGGAGTTCAAAGAAATACTGCCACAGTATTCCCCATGCTGCCCCTGTCTGCCAGAAATCGCTTTCCTTTATGATTTTCTTTCTTCTTCTCCCTTAGATTGAACTTTTGAGGAATCTGTTGCTGATGTCTGAAAGTGAGGATTTCTTAGATAATTAATTGTATATTCAGGCTCTGAATAGCAAGAATAGTGTGAGAGTTGCGTTCATTATTGCCTGAAGTCTATGGCAGAATGCAGCCTGGACCTTTTCTCCTGAAAAATTGCTTCCATACCCATTTAAAGAAACACAGTGCCAAATCTGTAGCAATTTAAGAGGAGACACCTGAATGAAAGACTTTAAAGATGCTGCTCTCCTCCCTTAGCTGCAATGTAAATATCAGATTTCTTAGCAGTGAAGCAGATTTCATTTCTGCCCCTTTGGGATATGTATCTTTAGCTCTAGTTTGTGGTCTGTAGGAGCAACAGGAGTACACGCGTGTGAGCTGAGCTGTTCTACTGCAGTGAAGGAAGAGCTCTGTCAGGTCTGCAGTGCTGAGAGTCTGCAGAGCCATGGTTAAGTGTGCTAATATGCATGTGTGCGTTCGGATTGTTTGGAAAACTGGCGCTTTCTCTCTTTGGTGTGTGCTTGTGATTTCATGAGAAAAGGGGCTTCCAAAATGCCAAGTCCATGGAAATTACCCTACAAGTGGTCCAGATGCCTCAATGCCATTGCCCTTCTCCAGTGATAGGCAGACACCAGCTGTTCACATCGCTGAACAGACCAACTGACTAAGCACCATGTTCTTCTCTCATGCTGCTGGGTTGTGTAGTTCCTCTTGTGATTTCTAGATATACAGAAAAACACTGAATAGGTTGAGTGAAAGAAAAAAGTAGGAGCCGTATAGAAATGAATGGATTTAAGTACCAGAATAAAATTTCCTTTACTGGATTTCATTTCATATTTTCTCTTGGTTAGATTTGGCAAGTTCTTAGTCCCAATAAATATCCTACTGGTAAGAAATACCACATCTGCACTACCAGAGGATTTTCTTGGAGCTTTTTCGAGAGTCTGTAGATAAAATGTTCATTTTCTGTAGCTCTCCTGCCTTCTTCATGTTTCATCTGCCAGTAGCTTTTCCTGACAAATTCTTTCTGCTCCCGTTGTACCACACAAAGGTTGTTAGCCTTTATATTGTATTGGGCCAACTGAGACTAATGTGAAAGTTCGATTGACATCAACTGAAGTGTGCATTAGTAATGTATTAGTTCCCTTAGTGCACAACAGTCCATGTGAAATAAGAGCACATCCTCACAGCCTGCCTTTGACAGGCAGTTTGTCCAGGTTAGAATCAGAACAAGCTTGAAGCTCCAGTGCTATTCTCCCATCTCCATCCCTGACAGTGTTCAGGGCCACGTTGGATGGAGCTTTGACCAGCCTGGTCTAACTGAAGGTGTCCCTGCCCGTGGCAGGGGATTTGGAACTGGGTGATCTTAAGGTCCCTTCCAACCCAGACCATTCTGTGATTCTGCGACAGCTGCATTTGCTCCTGCATCCCAGTTGACAAGACCTTGGGGGACCAAGAAAATGTAGATACATTTCACTTGCCTCAGAGAAAAGGAGAACATATGGAGTAAGCATGAAAAAACAAAAGCCATTGACATTCCTGACTGTGTCTTGAGACTGAGAGAATGAAGGAAAAAAAAAAGTGGCTGGTAAATGCTAAGAAAGCTCCACTTTGTTGCCCAGATGGAGCAAAGTGCAGATGCAGAGGTGAAAATGCAGCTGCTTAGTTTAGTGGGACTTTTGACAAGGAGGAAACCATGTCCGCTTTACTTGGGAACCTGAAGGAATGCTACAGCTTGCAGCACATGTGAGCCCTCCTGCAGCAGCCATCTGTTTGGCTCTCCTACAGCTACAGGGGGAGGTCTATTTTGCTTCACTGTGGTCAAATACAATCAATGCTTTGGTTCAGTGTTCAATCGCTGGTGCCAGTGTAGAGATTTATCGCATCAGTTGAGCAGCCTGATGTTTTTATGGTTCTTGTAACAAAGCCGAGGAACTGTGTGTATCTGTAGAATCACAGGTATGTAAAGTACTTAAAGCAACAAGCAGTAAGCATGAATAAAGGGGCTACTTGTCTTTGCAATAGCCTGTGAAGCTGGCTTAAGCCAAAGAGCCTTGCTTCATGATTTAAAGCCCTGTTATTGCAAGCGTATGGTAGATCACCCGTGGTAGGAGCTCATTTGCTTTGGTATAGCAATCTGGGTTTATCAGGGAAGTGGTCACTTTTTGTACTAGTGCAGTGTTGTGGGTTCTTTGGTCAGCTGGAATCAGAGTGGATTTTCTCCATCATAAGACAAAAAAAAAAAAAGAAGGGACAGAAACTGGGGAAAAGTTTTCATTGTTGGCAGTTTTTTTCCCCTTTCATTGGCAGAGGTAAGTGAGAATGTGCTGAGGAGTCCAAGCTGCTGTGCTGCTGGTGCTGGTGGTAATGCTTTACCCATCCCAGGAGACCCTAACCCAGTCTCTTTGCATGAACTCTGGTGTTGTGCTGGGTGTCCTGTGAGCTGGCTTAAGACTAGGAGAACACTTCCAGTTGAAACTCTTTGGCAGGCTTTTAAAGAAGAGTTTTCACTTCTATGGACAGCATTGCAAGTCTATCAATTGAGTAACTTCCTGAAAAATAATGATAATATATTAACTATAAAGTAACGAATTTTGTCCTGTTCTCCTTTTAAGGATTTGGCTTTCTACTTACTTATCCTGGATCAGCCATTAGTTACACTCTCAGCAGGGAGAGGGGTGAAGGTTGTGCAGTCAAAGGGGAGAGCAGGGGAAATGAAGCCAAGATGGTAATAGAAATGAGATACAAAATACAGGAACCTCAAAACTCCTTTTGGTCAGCAGAGTGCCATTCTCATCTGTAATGTCTGTATATTCCTCAAAAGCCAAACTTCCTTGTCAGAGGCTGTGTGTATTTGTGTGTCTGGGGGAGGAGGTTTATTGCTGTAATTCAGTTCATCTGGCAAAGGTTACTCCACTTAGTTGAGTTCTGGTGTCAGGAGAGCTGGTCTTGGTTCCTGACACGGATGTGCTGTCTCTGGAGGAGTAAGACTACAGGAATTCCCCAAGATCACAAGACTTCTTTGGGTCTGTATTGATGGTTCTGGCCCTCTGCCACGCTAAAAAGCCTTTTTGTCATGATGAAACGATGGAATGAAGTTTATTGTTGCCTAAAGACCAAAAAATTTGAGTAAGGACCAGGTTATAATGAATCACTGGAGACAATAGGAGAGCTTTTTGTGCTTTTAAACAGTTCTAAATAGGAAGCGCACTTTGTGCTCATGCTAAATAAAACTTCTTTAAAGGATGTATGGAGTTGTGCAAAACCAGGTGGTATCCAAATGGGACCAAGAAATGGCGAATGGCACACCATTTTGAGCACATCCCCTTAAAAGCCAAATTCCCTGAGGTCTGCTCCGGAGGCCGCTGATACGGGAAGCCCGACTGTTACTTTTGCTGGTGCCAGGAATGAAACTTGAGCATATGCTTTGTGCACTTGCATCAGATGTACTGAACCCAGTCCTGGCAGACTGGTGAGCTTTTATATGTGGCTGGAGAACAGATTGAAGCTGCCACTATAACTCTTGAGTACAAAAGGTCGTTATGCATCGGTCCAGTCCGCATTATTGTATGAGCTATGTGCTGAGAGGATGGATATAAGAAAGAGCTGGAGTACCCTGCACTGCTAGAATCTCAATGTGTTTGCTGATGTCACAAGACAGGACATCTGGTTTTAAGCATTATTCTCTATCTTCCCTTTGTTTCCTCTCCCATCATACTAAAATATCTTTCTGTTGTTCCCTCACATCAGAAATCTGGGTGAGCTGATTGACAGGTTTGTGGCTGACTTCAAGGCTCAAGGTCCCCCCAAGCCCAACATGGATGAAGGAGGAGCCGTCCTGCCCAGCTGTGCCGACCTCTTTGTGTACTACAAGAAGTGCATGGTGCAGTGCTCCCAGCTCAGCACAGGCGAGCCCATGATAGCCCTGACCACCATATTCCAGAAGTACCTTCGAGAATATGCTTGGAAAATTCTGTCTGGAAACCTGCCTAAGTGAGTTTTGCTTTCAGAAGTGCACTTAACCCTGCTACTTGGGTAACCAGTTCATACTGTTGATTCCTCACTGCCTTAGCTCAGCATTATGTGTATTATAATTTCTAATGGAGGTGGTTTATTTGTGTGATGCTTACCTTAACTCCCTCTGCTCTGTAACATTTTATACATGTATGAATAAAATATCTAGCTGTAAATCCAGTGAAAGTACAGGAAATTGTTAGGAGTTTACACCAATATGGGTAAGTATAGAGGCTAAAGGAGCTCCTTGAGATACTGCCAACCTTTACGACAGATGATTTTGTATGCTATTTCCCATCTTCAGTTTGTTTCTCTTGTGAACCTGGGAGTAGCAGAATCAGTTTCTGAAACCAGTAAAATCTTTTGCAGATGGAAGGGGAGAGGGTTACATCCAGACAAGTGGAAAGATAAATTTAATGTGCATTCTCCATCAGACCTCAGTTGCATTCTTTATGCGCGTTTTTTTGTGTGCTCCATTTTTGCTGTCCAAGATAAATATCACTGTCCTATTTTTTTTTTTAATGGATTTAGATTCTGAAGAGTTGGGAGGTAGGGAATTTCCTGACTCTAAACTGTTCTGAGTCTTTCTTTGCTGATACATGGCTGTTAATCACTAGGAGACAGTGGAAAGAAGCCATATTTTCAATAATTTACTGTGTTGATATCATCAGTCTTTAAAACAGGTTACCACATTTTCAGATGTATGCTGACATCTGTTTAGTACTGAGGAGATAAATATGACAAGCTGCCTGATAGTTCCTGAGATTTTTCTGTAATCTTTAATTAGATTTTGAGTAACTGGAAGTGAAGGTGAAGCTGGCTGGGGAGGGCTCTATTCCACTTGCATTCTAATCTCCCATGTTGTGAATGAATGAGTTGTCCTTTGTCTGAAGCTTTGATACGAAATCCTGTTTGTCTTTCTAATAGATATTCCTTAATCAAAATAGCAGGTTTGGTTTGATGCAGAATGACACTGACCTGTGTTGCATTGGACTTTGTGGTCACAAGGGCTTTTTGTGGCACTAAAATTTAGTAATAATTTTGCAATGTGCATGTCTGTACACCTGAAAGCTTTACAGGTTTTGTCTTATTTTTTTCCAGGACAACTAGCAGCAGTGGTGGGCTCACCATCACTAGTTTGCTGAAAGAAAAGGAAGGCTCTGAAGTGGCAAAATTTACTTTAGAAGAACTGTGCCTCATTTGCAGCATCTTAAGTACTGCAGAATACTGCTTGGCAACCACCCAGCAGGTGAGCTTTCCTCTACAACACCGCTGGGATGGCATCCAGCAGCAGCCCCTCTTCTGTCAGGAGATGCTGTGCTGCTCCCACTTCATGGTTAAGCTGCTGTGGAGACTTGAAGAGCCAGAAGTACTAAAATAGCCAGAGTACTGTCTGGTCCACATGCATCCTGTTGGTTATTGAGCCCTACATTATTAAATCTGTATTTCAAGGAAAGAAAAATACTGATTTTTGCTGTTTCTACCTGAGAAAAGTCATTTGCTTGTAATACTGCTTTGCAGCATCAGTTTTGGATTTAGTTCTTTTATACTTTTTGCATAATTTGTTTTGCATTGGGGACCAAATGTAAAACAAATACCCCTTGTGGTTCATGATCTTCCTTTTGTAAAAACAAGAACAACAGTAATTTGATACAGGTTTGGGAAAATGCTTGCATGAAATATTGGGGCAAGGTGAAGTGAAGAGAGATGGTATTTTTACTGACATGCTTTGCAGCTCCAGTGATTGTTACATTCAGGTGCTTTCAAAATGCCATAGGTTAGTAGATGAGCTGCGATGTTTGGCTCTATCAGGACCTCTCCACCAGTAGAACTGGCAGTCCTCCTCCTTTGCACTTCGGGCACAGGCAGGGTGTTGAAAAACATCTTTATTAGCAGGACAGGTGCCACAGTGTTAAGTTAGTACGTTAGCATGTCTTACTAGAGTTACATAAATGACCTTGGAGGTTTACTTCTTTGAGAACATGGTGCCACCATAGTCCATCCTGGCAGGTTTAGGGTGTCCAACAAGGAGAGATTTCCAGTGTTCACTGGCTGAGTTTTGGTTATAGTCTGGGCACACAGTAAGTTTTTAAAAGCTGACTTTTCCAGGATATAAGTTTTCAAGAATGGTCATTTCAAATAAGAAATCTGATCTTTCTGTTGCTTGTTTTGTTTCCTAACAGTTGGAAGAGAAACTCAAAGAAAAAGTGGATGCAAGTCTAGTGGAGAGAATCAACCTGACGGGAGAGATGGACACTTTCAGCATGTATGTTCAGCAGATGCATCCTTCCACAATATATCAAAATCCTAGTTTGTAAACCAGATGGTGCTGGAGTAATACAAGCCCAAGATTCCAATGTTGTAGGACCCAGTCAGCAGTAGGACCGACCCAGATACGTAGCCTAGGCATAGGCATTTTCCTGGTGATGGAATGGTCATCCTTTGGCTAATCCAAGAGCAGCGGTAGTACGGACTTTAGATGTAGTTGTTCCTCATCGTCCTAGCCAAAGGAACAAAAGCACTGGAAAGGGGAAAGGAAATTGTGAGTTTTCATCTCAAACATCATTTGCATCTTGGCAGCTCTGGGAGGTGACTGCTACATTTCAAGAAAGGAAGCTATTTCAGTACATTCCTTCCTGCTTTAACTTCCCCCAGTTAATCAGCAGCCTTGTCAGTATGATCAAACCCCATTTCAGATGACATAAAAGACTGATCCAATCTTATATTTGGGGATTATAATTGAGAGAAGATTATCATTCATTAAAATAACTTTTCACGTAACGATACTAAAAATACTCCCTTCTGACATCCTCTCCACCACTGACAAATAGATTGAATGTTTTTTGAGAGAAGGAAATTGAGGCAAAAAAAAAAATGTTTTGCCTCACATCAGACAAAAGAAAACCTTGGTAAATCTGGGAAAATAATCCCTATCAGCAGCTCTCCTCCTCCCTAAAACTAAGACTCAGCCCACACAGCAGTAAGATTTTTTTCAGAAGGCTCCCTTCCTATGATTCCTCCTCTCTTGCTCCAGTGGGCAGGATCCCACTGAATCGCCATCCAGGTTTTTCACATGGTCTCAGGCTCCATTCCAGGCTGCAGAGACTCCCTTCCCGTTACATATTTCTCAGACCTTTTTAAGAGTAAATCCCTGACCAAAATCTGGGGTTGCTGTGTCCACTAAGCCAAAGCAATCAAGGTAGCTGGGAAGTAGAAATAAAATATGCCCTATGATGGGGTTTTCTTACCATGAACAAGTCAAGGGTGAGTTTTGTATTTTCTCATGACCTGTCCATCAAGAGCCAGCTGCCTTGAGTCGCTGCTGTTTCCACTGTGGCTGCCTCAGGAGGCGGTTGGTTGTAGGCAGCCAGTATGATCTGTTTTGGAAACTGTTTAAACATATAGCTCACGTTTGCTGTTTTGGACAGCTTTAAAGTTCCGCTGACAGCCCTGATGCATCTTGTAACAGAGGCTTTTTAATTGACTTTCAGTCTGTTCCAGTGTAGTGCTTTGTCCAGTCTTCTGTCAGTGTAAGTCATAGCTATAAACCTCTCTGGCGTTTGCTCATTCAACATTGAACAAGTTGTTTCTTTGGGGATTTGATGTCTTGTTAGGCACAGTCATAAAGAGAGTGATAAAACATTGCTTCTTACACACCCTGGAAAGTGTTCTACCTTTGCAGAAAGGAGAGTGCAGAACCACCCCAGATGTGTATAAAGCGATTGACGTGAGATGGGGGGCTACCCCTGGGGTGGCTAAACATTTTCTATATCTATGTTGGAAAAATGAGCTCTTCTTGAAGTTCAAAAGTAGGAAAATTACTGTCATTTAAATCCAGAAATCTCTGATTCCCACCCCCTGCCCTACTGATCTGTTGTGAGATCATGGGTAGTGTTTAGAGACCCCTTGAAGGCCTGAAGTGTTGAACATACTGTACTAAGAGCTTACTGTACTGCTCATTTGTGGCCTCAGCTTCCCGATCTGTGCATCTGTCAGGGATTGTCTGAGGATTCATTAACTGCTCCTGAAGTACTGTTATGTGCTGCCCGGGGCAAAGATATGAAGTGGCTTCTGGCAGAACCATGTCATGATGCTTTATGTTTGCAACACCACTTTCTTGCTGCACCATTCACCCTCTAAAGCCAGTATTTATTTTGAAGAGTAGACAAATAGGTTTTTCTCCCTGATTGCAATTTTGTGGGTTTTAGGTGAGCGCCTGCACTTGGAACAGCTCCTGATGTGTGGACACTAGTGATGAGGTCACTTGCCTTCCACTGACAGAATTGTGTTGCATTTTGGTGCTGAATCACAGCTCTTTCCTTAAAGTCACTGACAGGAGGTGCCCTGCAGGAGTCAGCTGTGCCCAAGAGACATGATTTCAATCCAGCTGGTGGAATCCCCCAAGGGAGTAAATCCTGTAGTGCCCAGCAGAAGCACCAGCAGAAATGGTCACAGGCTTTTTTTATCCCAGTGCAAGTTTTAGATCGTATAACTTGAAGCCAGTATTCACATCTCCCAGACTAACTTCCAAATAATTTTGAATGAGTTTGCCTTTACAAACAAATTAATTGCTCTGAAGGAATACTCCTTTACTTGCCAGCCTGTTCCAGACTTTGTGTACTAGAGCTTTAGGAAGGGGAATAGAAAACCTCTGTGGGTTGCAGGGAAAGACATGACCCAGCTCCCAGCAGCAGAATTAAGAGTGGGTGATACCATATCTCAATGAGGAGGTGGATATTTAAAACTATTTTGAAGAGTGAACTCCACAGTAGTACCCAGAACTTCAAAAAGAAGATGAGGGGGAGGAAAACTGTTTGGAAGACGTATTGGTCAGATTTCTTACAGATCTGCAATTCCCATCTATGCTGCCATCATGAGAAAGCAAAAGTAAAATCCAGTTTTTACATATATAATCCCAAAGTTGTAAACAGCCATGTGTGGCAGATTGAAGGTTTACACTCCTTTAAAAACTGTACTTACTCAGTGAAACACAGTCACTTACTACTTCCAGCATAAGTTGTAATGTGAGTACTTGGTTATGTGCCCTCAAGGGTGGTCTGAGCTGTTGCAGACAATGTTTCCTGGTTGGTTTTTTAGGATCAGTTGCACCTTTGTGCCCATCATAATATGGTGGCATCTAATGTGTCTCTAAGCAATATTGTGCTGTTAAGAAAAAAAGAGGGAGGGAAATGTGTTTGACTAATGTGTTCTTTAGTCTGGTATATGTCTTTGAGAAACTTAAACAATGGATGGCGGCAATCCTAGACATAGTGTAAATAAGACATCTGCCTTGATCTTCTCAAATGGGAGACACGTTCAGAACTCATGCAGATGTGCTTTTTGAAATCCTCTTTGCAAGTTTCTGTGAGTAGTAGAATGTTGGCTGTGAGTAAATGGAGTGGTGACAAAATTTTAGTTTTATGTATTAAATTTGAAGGCAAATCCAAGTCTGGGCTTGTATTCTTGGGGGTTCTTCTTCTTCCTGATGTGAAGTTGGGGGTTACTCAATGTGACACCTTTGATCTCCAGCTCCTTCCATGTGTCAAAACAGAGAAAGGTCTGCTGTTAAAATGTTCTCGCTACACTAAAGCCCATTATGTAGCTCCCTGATGAACAGCATGTAGAAATTCCCAGCTCCTTTTCAGTACAAGTTTTAGCCATGTATATTCACAGCATAATGCAACTGTCAGCCAGTAGATGATTTTCTGCCTTTCACAGTCAAATAAAGCCAGTTCTGGCACTGTGTCACTCAGTACTGTTCTAAAACTCATGCTTGACTCTTTTTTTGCAGTGTGATCTCCAACAGCATACAGTTGTTAGTGCAGGACCTGGATGCAGCCTGTGACCCTGCCCTGACTGCTATGAGCAAGGTAGGGTCTGGATTTGTTTTGGGAAGAGGCACCCTTAAGATCCATGTGAAGTTCTTGGTTATTTTGATGGCTTTATTTCACAATTGACATACCCTTTTGCACTGCTATATATTGATTTTGTCTTGCTTCTTAGAGCAACAATTGCTCTATTTATAAGTATATCCTTCACTCTAAAACCTCTTACGTTCAGATTAGAGCTTTCAGTCTTTTGCACCACAATAAAACACACAAATACTTTCTTTAACTACATAAGGCTTTATTTTTTCACTCCTAATGCCAGTGAGATCCTTTAAAATGGAGAAAACTTTTGTTAGCATGAAATTTCAACTACAACTTCTTGTTTGCTGTTCTCTTTGTGTTCTTTGACAAGGAGTTTTACTAGCCTGGGTGTTTGTGGCTGTTAAATGGAGGTACTCAAAGGGTAATAAGGAACTGAGATTGAGCCCTATTGCTTCTGTGATCCTCTCAAGGACATATGGAGCCATTCCTAGGGAGGCCCATATGATTAGTGCTTAAGGATTTTGTTGCAGTTACACTGCTGGCTTTTATACGTTTAAAATGCAGAGCTGTGTTTTCTTGCCAAAGTATTGTGAAAACCCAGACTGCTTTAGACAGAGGTGAAGACAACAAAAGTGGATTGAACAATTTTTTTTTTAATTAGAAATATTAAACATAGAGCTCCATTTTTGTAGGATCAACACACTGTCTCACTGCCATGAATTTTAATAGCTTTCTGCTTTATGATGTATTCCAGCTGTAACTAGCCCCGCCACCCCCAGCTAATATTTGAAGTGGAATGCAGCTGGTAATAGAGCTTGTATGTGTTCCAAGTGAAAAGAGGATTTTTTTTTTTCCCCCTGTAAAATAACACTGTTAGGAAGGGCTCAGCACTTCAGGTGTTGTGTGTGTGCTGTGTCAGTTCCTTACATCTCCTGAACCTACATAGTGTAGTAGTAGTTGAATCACTTAGCTCTGACTGTTTGTACCCAAACCACAACCTTGAGAAAGCAGCAGCTGGTCGGCCATTTATTTTTGTCTTTGGAACACTGGTAAAATGCAGCACATGTGATGGGACTGATGATATATAAACAAGTTAAGTGTTATGAAATTAGCTAAATAAATACTTGTCACTTGTGCACACATTCCACTATTTGCATCAGCCAGAGTCACATTTATGTGATTTTTACTAGACCTGGGTTTGCTGTAAAGAGTTTTTCTCCTTCAGCCTCCTCCTTCCTTTCCTTCAGGGCTGGATTTTTACTCTGATGGTTGAATAAGAAATGCATATGATTGATTATTTAAATGCAGAGTTAGTATTTGGAAGTGTAAAATTTCAGTCTATATTAAAGGAGTAAAGCTGTGTGGCTGATCCATTCCAGTTTTCCTGTACTGGGAAGGCATGTTCGTCTGAAGACCTATACTCCATTAGGGCTCTTCCTTTGTTTAGCTTCTTTTCATTTACTTCACTCTGGTGTCCTCCAAGATAGAACATTCCCAGTCCTTTGTTGGAGTCTGGCTTTTCTTTTTCCTTGCAAAAATGTTCAGTAGCTATAAGAGGTAAATTAAGAAATACTTAAACCTCTAAATCGAATCTGGCTGCAAGCCATTTAGAGAGACTTAACACAGAAAATGGCATTGTGACTATTGCTGTCAGCTGGGAATGGTACTTGGTTTCCCTGGTTCTTTACCTTGTGTGTTCTGGAAGAAGTGATAAATGATGAGGAGGCCCCATGTTACAAAATGTGTAGGTGTTAATCTTTGCTCAAACTTTGGAGCAGGTGTAGAGTGATTAAACACGGCTGTAGGATGGGGAGCTGGGAAGCGGCGTGGGAGAGGAATTTGCCCTAAAACCCCATTGTCATATTCTGGAGAACAAAGTACTGAGAATGTGTTGTACTGATCTGTAGCAGGCCCTTAAATTGTCTGGTGTGCTTTATTTTTAATTGTTGGGATAAGGGAACTGATAATCTGCATGGGATATTTTTGCCCCAATGAAGTTTATGGATTGCACTGGCTAAGCCTTGATTCACTTGCTGAATTAAGCATCGATTTATATGTAAAACTGCTGGTAAGTGGGGCTGGGGGACATTTTAATGACGCATGTCGATTGCTTGCTGGGGTTTTATATTTTGCTAAAACCTTTTGGCACAGCCAGAATTTCCTACTTCCTTTACAACTGAGTGGACACCAGCAAGCGCTTAAACACGGAGCTTTAATAATCTCTCCATTACATACAAGGAAAACCCCAAGAGCAGAGCAATCAGAGCTGCCAACTGCTAATTTAAAGTCACCATGGGTGCGTTTCAGCACTCAGACAAGGTGCAGTGTGTAACAGTGCAAACCAGAACTTGTGTTGGAAAACAATGGAGGCAGTTTCAAAGGCAGCAGTATCTGCTGCCTGCAGCAGCCACTGGCTCTTTTCTCCCCTCCCACCTCTTCCTGCATGAGGAATGTGTGGTCAAGGGTGAAGGTGCTGGCCTGGTGGTTATGTGTGCTTCCCATGCCCAGTCTGGAGCCTGTAACTGGCAGTGGGATGCTGCTGAGCATGGGGGGACTTGGATACTGATCCATCTTCCATGAAGCAACCTCTTTGCTGGAGACCCAGGTCAGTGCTGCACATGGAAGAAGGACCTGGTGGCTCATGGTTTGGTGCTGTCACTCCATTCCTAGCTTTCTGGGGACACAGGGACATATGGAGACATGGGCCCCCGCAGCTGGGCAGACCCAGGGATGCTCTTGAGGCCCTGCCTTGCCCAGAAGGTAGTACAGCTCTTCTTACATGCCAAACCACTCCAGTTTTGCTTAGGGTTTCTCTTTTCTCCTCCCTTTTTAAGAAAGCACCCTAAAATCTTGACAGTCCTGGCTTTTTGTAGTGAAAACTAGCTCTGAAGGTAGAACCAGAGCTTTGAACCCCTTGCAGGCAGCCGCGTTGCCCTGTGTCGTTGCAGTGTGCAGGTGCCTTTTGGCTGCTGTTGGAGACCCTGCGTGCTGGGATTCTCCCTTTGGCCGGCAAGTGCGAGGCCTCACTGCTCCAGTTCTTTGGACTCATTTTCAGCTTGTGTATGTAAACTATGTGGATATCCCAAGAAAAACATAGGACGAGGGAAAAAGAGGCATAAATTTAGAATGACAGGAACAAAGCTTTACCAGAAGAGTTGGGGTCATATTTCTTCTGATGACTTTTCAGTATGTGTACCATTTCTTTCATTGCAGCTACTGGTCTTTTCTTTGGGTGAAACACACCCCCATACACACACACAAAGGGCTATTTTTACTATTCGTGCTTTAAAGGTTTGGTTGTAAAGTATTGCTTTTGGAATGAAGACCAACAAAATGAAAAAGCTACTGTTCTATTGTTGCAGTAATTCAACTCAGCAGTCCCTTCCCACTTCCTGGCCATTCCCGCTATACGGGGATGGTCTGTTGGTTGAGGATCATTGTCTGTCAAGAAGAGCCAGCGCTGGGAACGTGCAAGTCCATCAGGGAACTAGGCACAAAGTGTTTTCTTTGGATATGGCTTGTACCATGAGGAGTAGAAAAGCAGTTGTCTCTTGAGCAATCTTCAAATGAAAGATGGAATGAAAACCCCATAGAGCAGGTGATGAGAGAGGGATCCCTGCTTGCTTCCTGGGTAATGTGAAATGAGCAGGCTGGGGTTTTGTTTGTTTGGTTTCAATAAAGACAGCTTTGGTAGGACATGTGTAGACTCTCCCAGACATTGTGGTTTTGCAAAGAATTTGGCTTCTCTTGCCTATTAAGTTGTTTGGATGGAATTGAACTGGCTGGGTTGCAGGGGACAAAGTAGCCATAATTAAATTAAAACCAGGAATAAAAAACTTGTGCACGCAAAATCCAGAACTTGAGAAAACAAGTTTGAGGGCAAATACCCCTCAAAAGGAAAAGCTCATCTTCCACATGTGCCCAGTTTCCTACCCTAATTTCTTGTCTGTTTTCCTCCTGTTTCATCTGCAGCATGAGGAACAGCATCTCCAGTTAGTTGGAGCACATCGCAGAGCGCATGGTCTTTGAGCAGTAGCAGAGCTATGAGTGGTTTTCTGGATGCTGGAGTTTCTTGGTGAAACGTTGCTATATACATGGGTGCTTGGCCAGTCTACCCAATTTTCTCTTCTGTTTTTCCCCCACAACTTACATTGTGTACTCGCTGTGTACTCACTGCAAATAAGGCTCAGAGAAAGTCAAGGGAGTCACACATCTGGCTCACAGGGGCTATTCTGTTGCATTTCTGATGACTGTAAATGAAAACAAAGTGGGAAGTTGGGTAACTCTTCTTGGTTTATGTTTTCTTGATGTGAATTTGGGATAAGCTGAAGCACCCTAGTTTGTACACAAGAAGTGTTTTCGGTGTGAGCTATGCTGGATTTTAAAGCGTATTTCTACCTCTTCCATCTATCTGTCATCAGTCTCACCAGTATTAAAGTCTTGGCTGCCATACAGGAATCCAGACTTTGCAAGCTTGCAGATATTTTCTCAAATGCCTGTAATCAGGATTTATGTGGGCATTTCATCCTGGCAAACTGGAAACTGTTAAATATTAAGGCAGTCTGGCATGCTCCAAAACCTTTTTTAATCCTAGTGGTCTCTATTTGCATAGGTTACTGGTCACAACCTCTCTCTGCTCTGGTGCAGAAAGGGTTGTTCTTGGTTTTCTGTCTGTCTTCTTCTGGAAAGGTTTCGCTCAGTGTAGTGACGAAGAACTTGACCTTGGTGGTGAATTGCAGTGGCAGTGTCTTAATGATTCCTTAGAGATCTTTGGACAGGAAGTTTGTAGTTTTCCTTACCTATTGCTTGACTCTTAATGAATTGAACAGTCTCTTTGGTTGTTATTTCCCCTTTGTGCAGATGCAGTGGCAGAACGTGGAACACGTCGGTGACCAGAGTCCTTATGTCACCTCGGTGATTCTCCACATTAAACAGAATGTCCCCATCATCCGTGACAATCTGGCCTCCACGAGAAAGTATTTCACTCAGTTCTGCATAAAATTTGCAAAGTAAGTTACCAACATGGCACAGAGTTCATCGAGGTCTCTGGTTCTCACTAGCCTGTACGTGATCATCTGTTTGCTTTGTAGAGTGCAGCATCGTGGCTGTTAGTGTCTGGGTGAACAAAGAGGGCACAGAGGGAGGTGGGTTAGGACAGCAAACACCAGCAGCTGCTGGCAAGGTTAAAAGATACTTCAGTTTCTTGTCTCAAGTTTCCTGCTGAGGCAGATTTTCTCAGATATTCCTGTTGATTGGTTCTTCCCTACATAGCTAAACCATCCCATAAAATATTGTGATGATCACTGCCTACTCTTTGCCAAGTACAGAAGGTTTTGTGTTGGACATCTTTAAAAGGCTTTGAATGTCTGAATTAGACATGACTCCTACTCTGGGAACCTACTTTCCTTTCAGTGATAAGAGGCTGTGGTGTTTCCAGGTACTAAGAAATCTGGTGCGTCATTTAATTCTAAAATACCTATTTCGCTGTAAGGAGGGCATGTGTGATGAGTATGTTCTGCCTTGACAGTCCAAAAGCTGCTTTTCTGTGCAAAAATAGTTCACTAAGGAGGGGAATATTCAGGGGAGTAGTTCAGATTTTGGAGAAAATTCTGTTTCCTGTCAAATCACTTAATGTTGAGCATTGTGAAAGAACTGGAAGATGAGATAGAAATGCCCCTTGCCTCTGGGTTTAGGGTTGAGCTCTCCAGCATCTCTTGGACACCCAAACTTTGAAGCTGTGTGTCTGAAACAAGAATTCAGTTCTTTGGGAAGATACTTGGAACTTTTCCCTGCTTGCCTGTGGCCAGCAGAGCTTTGCATGCCAATGCCCCAAGAAAAAACCTCAGGAGGACTCTGCCAGTCGTAGCTGCTGCTTTTGGTGTTGCATGTGACTCTGCTGGTGGACTTGTGAGCTGTGCCATGCATATCATGTGTCACTCTAAAATACCTTAACGTTTCATTCATCTTCAATAAGCTAATCATCCTGAAATAAACTGTGGCCTGGCAGTTACTGTGTGGGTTTGAGACTGGAGCTTCAGCTCCTGCTTCAGCAGGGAAGGATGCAGCGGGGTCTCCTGAGAACTCTTAGCTCTCACAGCAGGGAGGCTGACCTGAGAGTTTCATTCCCCTTTTCTATCTCAGGGTACTCGTTAGCTTGCATTACGGAGCAGTTACTGATAAATCATATTATGACGTTGCCCATAATCACTGTTTGGAATGCTGTCTCAGTGAAAATTTATTGCACTTAAGCCTTCTATGTGGTTTCACTTGAATTTTGTATCACTAACATGGTGATAAATAAAAAAAACCCCCATTTACTCAGCTGTTCAAGAGCACACTCTTAATACCTCAGCTTAGTTGCCTCCCTTTTAACTTTATTGCTAAGCGCATATCAAGTAAACTCAGGATAAAACGAACATCTAAGCCGAGTGTCTTTGTCATAGCTTGTTCCATAGTTGAGCACAGAAACATGCAAAACTACCACTCTGCTTCAAAACCTTTTTTAAGACAACTACAGCTCTGATCTGCAGCACTTCAAAATGAAGACACAGTCCTGAGTTCATTATGGTGTGAATCAGGTGGAGAAGTGAAAATTTGGTTCCTAAGGATTGTTTTTGCCAGATCCTATTTAGAGTTCTTCTGTACAACTTGGATTTAAAGAGAACTAGTGCAGTGGTAAGGGTGTATTGATGTACTTAAAATGCTGATGACATTTTAATGCATGCAAACATTTGTATTTTTGAAGCTCTGAATTCTTATGGAATATGCTTGCCTGCCCAATATAAATACCTGGCCTTTTGTGTGCTCCACAACACAGAAAATCCTTTTAACAGGCATTGTACTTCTCCATATGTTAATGCCTGTATCTATTTGAACTGCCAGCCACTTCTCAGCTCTAATGGATTGTATAAAGCGCTAGTGTTGAGTTACAGGACCACAGGGGAGAAGGCATCTAAAGTCACTAAATTTAAAACTGAGGGATCTGAGCCAAGTCTGCAAGAAGAAAAATGGCCATCAAAAATGGCATCAGTCCTCTAACCTAATTTGTCATTTTTGTTTTGTTTTGACCAATATGCAGCCCTCACTCCCATGAAGTAGTGAGAAGCAGCCAGCTTTCCAGGAGGCACTTGCAGGCAGGGTGAGGGGCTCTGGTCTCACTGCACCTCAGTCCTTATCCTTTGAAATCAAAAACCACAGTGGTGAAGCTGTGGCTGCTACGCAGGGATGTGTTTGGGAAGTCTGTGACCTGACCTCAATGAGGAAGAGATTAGAACCAAGAGACAGGAAAAACAAACAGCTCTCCCCCTCGCCAGAATAACGGCTCATCCATTACAAACAGGCAAGCATGGTGGGTAACTGCAGCAGGCACCCTTCCAGTTCTGGCCTTTGCATCGTGCTTATAGTGAGAGGAGTTGGGTGGAAGAAGATCGTGACAAGGAGGCTCCTGGAGGTTTGGAAACAGTGAGCCAAGCTGCAAGGGCTGGTCACTGCCTTGGAGCAGGATATAAAGCAAAACCCTTCTCAGCTGCAGTGACTCAGTGGCACCAGGATGCTTTGAATGATGCCCTGCAGTAGCTCATTTTCCTTCAGACAGGCAAGACTGTGGTTGCATCTCTGTCTGCCTTGCTTAGCAAGGCATTGTGTTTGATGCATCAGCAGTGCAGGGGATTAGGAAAGCACAGGCTTTGGCAGAGCCACTCCCGTTGGGTGGAAGCCTCTCAAATACTGTGGTTTCTCTGCTTTAGGTTCCTCATCTGTCCCACACTGCTTTATTATTATGCTGGGGACTTGTCTGCTTCTATGGAGGGTTTGCTGGATTTGGCTTTATAACTGAAATTGTAAATGAATTCTGGCATCCAGTCTAGCTCTGTGGATGTGCAGGGAGTGAAGGCATTTAGAGTACAAAGCCTCGTGCAGAGCATTAACATTGAATTCGCACGTATTATTTGCATCAGGATTGCCTGCTGTATGCTGAGAGAGCCAAGCACTGAGTCCAGCCTAGGCAAGAGACTCAAGTGAATTTTTCAGTTAAGTGCAACTGCGCTTGATGGTCTCTGCTTGTCCAAAAAGCCCTCCCAGAACACAAGAGCAGCCTTTGGTCCTTATGGTTTGTCTTGTCTGTCCTCCTGGAGTTGAGAAGCTGTTTCCAATAAGGCAGCGTGAAATAACAGGCATGTGGGGATGGGAGGTCACTTTACCCTTCTGCACTGATTGTGGGTGGCCATCCTAAGGGGCCTGGGAATTGTTTCATGCAAGACAGAGAGCTGTCTATGGGAGACATTTGGTTACATAGAAGATTAAAAAAAGAGAGGGGAGGGGTCCTTTGGCTGCTGGTCTGCCACCGTGTAAAAAGAGAGGCTCGCTCATATAGAACATGAGCATTAGCTCCATGTCTGATCTTACAGAGGGAAGGACAGTTGGACCTAGCTGCAAGATCAAAGATAGAGTTAACTTCTTGCTCTCTTCAGCTTGTAGCAAGGTGCTGCACCCAGAGCTGCTACCCATTGATCATTTTATAGGATCACCTAAGCTCCAGCTGTGCTTAGCACTCTAATTGCCCTCTGGGAATTAGCTGTGCACCTGAAAAATGGATTTTAAACCAGATATATTGCATCTCTGCTGTCATGCTTTTGTGCAAGAGGAGATAGCGCTTGTTTCCCTCCTCTTATTTGTGTTTTGTTGCCGAGGTAGTTTCTCTGGTGGTCAAATTCAAAGCTGTTTGGGGCAGCCCAGTAGCTGGTTCTCAATAGTAGTTTGAAATTGTTCTCCCTGCTGCCTCTCCAGGAAAGGATGATTCACTGAAAGAGGTCGTGGCTGTGTCTGAGAGAAGGGGAAAGGAAGGAGCCTTTGCTTGGACTCTTCCTTGAACCATTTCTTTGGATTTTCTCAGCAGCTTGGCATGCTCTCTGCCTGAGTTACACTTTTGTCATTCTTCCATGAGAAAGGGCAAAAAATAAATGTCCTGGCTTGGAAAACAGGTAGCTGGGCAAACAAGATGCTGTCTGTGCTCCTTGCTTTGTGAGAAGGAAAGAAATAGCTTGACAGATTAAGGGGGAAACCACACTGAATTTAGATCATCATCATAAATGGCTTCTCATTCAAAAAGGAAAAAAAACAGACTGACTTACATGAACTTAGAACAGTGTCATTAAAATCTAAGACCTGCCACCAGGTCATGGCAAGGTCCTAGAAACATGAGCCTGGTAGGCATTCAGCCAAAGAAGGCCATGTGAAATAAGCAGAGTACATTGAAAAACAAGGCAGCAAAAGGAAGACCAAGGGTATGAGTGGAGTGGTCCTGACAGAGGTTGTGTTGTTCATGCTGGCCCTTCTCACGTGCAGCTCCTGAGTTTTCCTGGTGCTGCACCTCAGTAGAGTAGGCCAGGCAGGAGCTTGTCTTGTAGGTGCTCAGCCAGCGCTTCTGCTAGAAGGGAGCATCTGCTTCTCCACTGAGGAATGAAATCACCACAAAGCCTAAAACCAGGAAGCAGAAAGCTAAAACCAAAGCTGGTGCTCTGGTGTTGGCAAATATTGGGCTTCCACCCTTGCCAGATTCTCCCCGCTTGAGTATATGGACCGTAGTCGTTCTTCTGAGTCTGAAGTCCACGTTAGTAAAACAGGGTAATGGTGTTTTCACAAAACTTTTTCTTGTCTTGATTGTGTTGGCCAGAAGGTTTTTGGATGAGTGCCTTTCTGTGTGAGTGTCCAGGGCCCAGCAGACCTCCAGCCTTGGCTGGACCTCAAGTTCAGGGTGTAATATGCATGTTATGGAATTACTTGTATGCAGTAAATTGTAGGTTCTGGATTCTTCTCCTCTGTGAATAGCTGTGCTAATCCTGGCATGTTGCTGTGTTTATTATGTACAATAGTTTGCTTGTTCTTGACCTTGTAGTGTAGTACTTCATGTCGTTTATAGCAATTTATTTACGTAGAGTACGTGTGCGACTTCTCAATTAACTTTGAGATCGGTATGGATTAAAGCAAAAGAATTATACCTAAGGTTTGTTGGGTTTTTATTTAGTATACTTAATGTGTCTGGAATCATCTTGAGAACCAGGCACTTACAGTGTCTTTATAGGAAGCCATCCTGGTTTGGTTTTGCATGCTTTCTTACTGCAGAAGACTACATAACTCCAAATACTCACATGTAATTGTGTCATTTTGTATTTCATCTCTGCAGCTCCTTCATTCCCAAGTTCATTAACCATCTCTTCAAGTGCAAACCTATCAGCATGGTGGGCGCAGAGCAGGTAAGAAAGAGTAGTTGCATTGTCTGTCATGTTTTATGACTTCTGGGTTCAAGAAGTCAAGGCAGCTTTTGGTCAGAAGGGGCAGAGAGCTAAGTTACGTGTCCTGAGCTCTGGTACAGCTGAGGCAATAGGGATACACTGGTACAGGGCAGAGTGGAAGCAGGTTTGTAGGGATCCTGCCACAGCTGAACCTGTCCTGGAAGAGGGGCCTTAGGCATCTTCCCAAGCAGAGGAGCTCTTACTTTGCCAGTCAAATTAATGATAGCCCAGGAGTTGTTGCTAAGGTGTCAGGATGAGATTTGTCTTCAGTGTGCTCACACAAAGGAAAAGAATGTTGCTTGTGGCAGAAACTGTTGCCAGAAGCTCCCGTGTCCTCAGGAAGACTATTTTCTGACACATCGTTTCTCAAATCTCCCTTTGCTGCTTCTGTGCCTTCTCCCTTGGTTAAACCTAAGACTATCGCTTCTCTGCTCAGAAGAGCTGGGGCATGGCCAACTCATAGTTGCTGGTTGAGATGTTTCCTCTTTCCTTCTCTTCAAAAAGTGCCAGGGTGGAGGGTGGGCAGTGAAGAAGGCCTATGCAATAATGGCTTTAATCCTTTATTCACACGTATGTCTGCTCCTTAAAAGGAATTGCTGGAGGAAGCATCATTTGGAGGGGAAGTGAGACAACAGGAAAACTTTACCAAAAAAACCCAGCAACAACCCCAAACCAAAACCCCAGGTGTCCAGGCAGTTTCTCAGCTCAGGAGTTCAAACAGCAGTACTCCAGCAGAGCAGTGCTGCAGCCTCTCAGGGACTGTGTGTGCTGGTCCCATGTGCTGGCTCCTTCCTCTCTGAGGAAGTGAAGCTGTGGGAGACTCCTGGAGGGTGATGTCCTCATGGGCTCCTCTGCAGCTTGATGTAGTTTTGCCAGAGTCTGTGTCCTGGCTGAGTTCCAGTGAGTACAATTAGATTTTTGCCTCCTCTAGTCTGCCTATGGATGGTTGCTGTCTTCCTCCCCTCAGAGCTGTGCAGGAAGGATGGGGCTGTGGAGGTACAGTGCAGAGTTTTCTCTGTTTTGTTGGGGGGAAAAAAAAAAGCTAAATGGAGGCCCTGTTTCTGCGAGCAAGTGATGCTGCAGTGTCTGAAGACAGGACAGTTTCTTTCCTGCAGAAATGCCTTCCAGGCCTCGCTTCCTCTGGCGTTGCAAATACACGTCCAACACTGCAGCATGGTGGGGAAGAGCTGTCCCCACCTCTATCACTCAGTGACTGAGACCCAGGGAAATGACCACCCAGCATCGGGGACTCAGGACTCCCCAGCTTTCTCCCATGAACCTGCCTCCCTTTTATACTGAGAGCTGTAGGTACTGCAAGACAGTGAGACACAATCCCAGGGAAGGAAGCGCATTGAATTAATGCCACTTGCATCAACATGTGCATTTCTATTGAAATACTGCCCTTTCACACGAGTCCCTGTCCCTGAATTGCACATGGACAGCACAGGGTATTTATTGCCTCGAGACCCTTTATCTCTCACCCCTGCCTGTGGGCTGGGACCCTGCTGCTCTGTGAGGATGAGGTTTGGATGAGGCCGGTTCTCAGCTGTCCCCTGCACAAGCAGCTGCTTCCTTGTGGGCTAATTAAACAAAAGCAGATTTGTCCCTAATGGCACTGCTATGAACTTCAAATCAGGGCCTTAAAAGCTGCTTGGGTTTTAGGCATCAAAGATGGGTTCTGAGCAGTGTGTGTCTGCAAAATGAAACAGGAGCTTTACGTCAAAACCCTCCTCTTTTTTAATGGGAAGCAAATGAGTGAAGCAGAGTTCCTCTTCATCTTGTGCAGTGAGCAAACCTGAGAGTGATTAAACAAAGTCTTTTTCTTAATAACCATCTAAACTGATTAACCAGTTGCCAGCAGTGGGTTTGTGTTTAAAGTTAAAAGGTTTTAACATTACTATATTGGAATAACAGGCCCAATTTGCTTCTTTAAAGCAGACTGGGAAGGTTTTTGTTAGCCTGATTAACAGTGAATATGTCATTTATAAGTGGGACATACCTTCCTGGGGTTAGATGTACAGAGGTCTTCAGAAGCTGATCTCCTCTGGCTCTGCAGCATATAGGTCCTCAGTTGCTTTAGCATCTTTTGAGCACACCTCTGGTCACCCACCAGCATCTTTCCACACCAGTTTTTCTCTGGTGCAAATGTTGCTGTGGAATATGCTTTCTAGGCCTTTCCTGTCCTTTCCTGTCCTAAACACAGTGCTGTTTCCTAATAATCATGTTCGAAATCTAGGCACTAGGGCATTATTTATGGAAGTGTTCAGTGCAGGGAACAAGACCTGTAGGGTTTCACTTTGTGTTTGTATCTCTGACTTGACAATCCTCTGTGTCAGCAGGCTTTGGCAGTGAGACAGGAATGCCAGGGACCTGGAATGGGTAACAGGGGGAAATAGGGTGAGTGGACAGAGCCTGCAAGTGCTGCATCTGTGGGAAAGCTGCAGAGTGCACAAAACTCCTATTAGACATGAGAGAGTTTACGTGGGAAAGATGTGAATTCTCCAACCATGGAAAAATCTCCCATGTATGGGGTCGCTCATAGATATACAGGAATCCAGCTATGACAGCCTGAGGCTCCAGCAGCTCCGGGGTACACAGAGCTGCTCATTTGTGCTGTGATTTCCTGGCTTACCAGGACGAGATTGATGGCATTGATTCATCTCATGCAAACCATGAAACAGGCAGCACACAGCAATGATACGCTGCTGCAGATAACAGGGACCAGATTGGAAGTGGTGTGATCCAGCATCCCTCCTCCTCAGCTCAGTCTTGCACCGAGTTCCCACGTGTGCTGAAAGCTGTACCCTATTTGCAGTGCAGAATTTGCACTGCAATTCAGTATTTGCACTGAATTCCCACGTGTGCTGAAAGCTGTACCATAAGTGTTCGGATTGTCCACGGTGATTGCTGAGGGGTTCTGAAGTGCCCATAATGTTGTGTGTTGCCCAAGAAGAACAAGTTTCCATGTGGTCCTGAGAGCCCCTTTGCAGGGAATGCACTGGGTGTGCTGACAGCCACAGAGCTCTCACTCACTGCTGCATAAATCAGTTGTGCTCCTCTGCCTCTAGTTGGATTTCAGATTCTGTCCTTCACTGGTCTGCTCTTACTTCTTCCAACATACCCTGTGCAATCAGAAGAGTGTGGTATTTGGGGTAATTTTGTTATAAGAAACCCTAACCCACAGCATTTTGTCATCAGTGCTTGTCTGGGCTAAATTTCATGGCTGCTCCTTGCTGCTTATTTAGCCACTTGTAGAGTGGAAAGCAGCATGCAGGCTGTGAGTTTCAGTGTACACAGGGTATTGAGCAGTTCTCCATGGAGCTGTATGGTGTTGCAGCTTTCTTTTAAAAAAAAAAAATCTTAATATCAGGTGGTTGAGTAAAGCAGAAAATCTGACAGAGTGGGTGGTTGGGGGCAGGAGAAAGCATGGTGTTAATTCATTTGACCTCAATATCTAAATAATGATACGGCTACAGGTAATCGAGATTGTTTCACTTTATACTGTCAAGGGGAAGAGGACTGGATGGAAATCTCTGCCTTATGGCAGCTCAGCATCTTGAGCATAAGTCATTTGAAGTCATCAGAGCAGTGCTCTGTTCAAGTCAGTGAACAGTGCTGATATGTAGCCATGGGTGACCGTGTCTCCTTGAAGTAACATTACATGGGTCGCCTCTCCTCTTCCTGCAGTCCAATTACTGGGATTTTTCCAATGTGGGAAGTGTTAAACTTTTAAGGATGTTGGATTATAGCAGGTATGGAGCCTGGTAATAATAGGGTGTGATTAACTATTGCAGCTGCTGCTGGACACTCACTCTCTGAAGATGGTTCTCCTGGATCTGCCCTCCATTGGGTCCCAAGTGGTGAGGAAGGCTCCTGCCAGCTACACGAAGATAGTGGTGAAAGGCATGACTCGGGCTGAAATGATCCTGAAGGTAACTCAAGACTTTTGATAACCTGCCAGCCAGACTGCTGGACTGGGATTCGGAGCGAGCAAATTCCAGGGGGCCCTTCCTTTGAACACGGCAATCTGCAATTGCACATGAACGTATGTGAGCTTGTCCGGGTGCGCTGCCAGCTGTTCGACAGAACTGGCTTATTTGCCTTGGGTTTGCCCCCACTCTCTTAACATCTCATTTGAGTTTTCATCCTCATTTTTTAAGGTAACCGAGGGCTCAAGTTCTGCTTATTAGGAGAGCTGGGGTACCAGATTCCCTCAGGAGCTTGTGAAAATCAGAGCTAGCATCCATAAGTGTCTGTTGCAGGACAAACCCTCCGGTTCAGGTTACTCCAGGCCTTTGTGCAGACTCCTTCACGCAGGGGAGCCAAGCCGTGCTTGAGTCACCTGTTTACTGTCTAGTGTAACAGCCAGTGCAAACATGTCTGGGTTACTGTATTCACCAGAGTCCTTTTTCATTTTCCAGACCTGGTGCCTGGAAAATGACCCAAAAGCAGTGTGTTGTCTTCATAAAAAGTAACAAGCAAAGCAACCTCCCCTTCCCCTGTGTTGTTGGAGTAAGAAGTTTGGGTTGATCCCAGGAGAAACCATGGGAGCTGCGCAGTGTACCCTCCTGGATGATGGGATTGTCCCCTGTTCACCAGCGATGCTGAAGTGAAGATGTTCCTCTGAGTGAATTAGTTGGACCTGGGGTCAGGCAGGACAGGCAGCTGCCAGCCAGAGTCTCCTGTAAACCACAGCCAAGGCAAGGAGGGGGTGCAGAGCCCAGGCTCTCCATGGTTCCTGCTCTGTGTGGCTTTGCTCCTGGGCCCCAAGGTAATGTTCTGGCTGAGTTTGCATTCTGAATTCAGAAATCAGTTCCACAGTTCCATGCTTCTGGAGTAAGGCGATTGAGGTGTTAGTAGATACGTTAGAGCAAGTCTAAATTTTCTTATAAATGGCCTGAAGAAAAATACCCTGGTACTGCTAATGGAGGAGCAGCAAAGACTGGAGCCTGTTGCATACAGAAATGGGTTTTTCCTTGGAGCTTATGTTTGAATCAGAAAGGTAATGGAATTAATTCGTCTACCTTAGTATCACATTGGCTTCATTGGGGTTGAGGTGAAAGCAGTATAGAAGTGCTTCGGGCAGGAAGTGCAGGGTGCTGCTGGTCTGCAGGCTGGGCAGTAGCAGTTTGTCTGCATTTTCAAGTATCTCATGCTTGCCCTCCTGCAGAACACACTTCTAATGGCCCTGAGTGAGAGCTCTGTGTCAATATAACTAGTGATGAAACAATAAAAACACTTAGAGTGCTCAGTGCTCCACAGAGTGATTGGACAAAATCAGACCCTGTGTGATCAGCAGGTGATTGGGTTGAATTATAGAATCCCAGACTGGTTTGAGTTGGAAGATACCTAAAAGCTCATCCTGTTCCAACCCCCTGCCATGGGCAGGGACACCTTCCAGTAGAGCCGATTGCTCCAAGCCCCTGTGTCCAGCCTGGCCTTGAACAGGATGTGGTATTTCTGTAGGAAGGTTTCCTTGCAGGGGCCCAGAGCTGACTGGTCACCTCTGGCCATTCTGTTTGTCTTGTGCTTGTCTTTTTGTCAGTGCTCAAACTGCTGTTTCCAAATTCAAAGCCTTTTCCCCAAGAGCTGTTTCACCCTGTCGGAAGCCCAGGCCACTACACTCCTCCATGGCGTTTTCAGGGCTCTACTACCTAGTTCCAAGATGGCTCAGAAATGGTACCTCTGTTGCATACAGCAATACCACCACACAGCAGCATGCCCAGGCTTATACTGGTGCAGTTGTAATTCAGTAGGAGTATCCATGAGCCTGAAGATGGCACAAACAAATTTATTTAGCGAAGTCCTACAAAGCACAGATGAAAGCGGGAAGGAGGGCATCAGGATATGCACGTCCCATGGAGCTGTTTCCTTTCTCCTCTGGCTCTGCTGTCTGAAGTTCCAGCTTTTCATCTTGGCAGAAGATTTTTACAAGGGCTGTAAATTAAGGATTTATAAGTGTATACATGGCTATGATGTTTCATTGGTCTGAAGTGCAGGGAGAGAAAAGAAATGTCTCTGTGACAGAATACAGTTTGGGGTGAGCTGGGTCAGTGGAAACATATGGAAATGTTTTCAGAGACAGGGAAGAGTCTGGTCCTGTGCTGTTTCTGTCCTGCATGCACACACATTCACACACACATACTTCCCCAGAAAGATGGTTTTGCTGCCCAGCATTATCAAAAGGTGTGTTCTCTATGGAGCTTGCTGCTTACGTAAGGAAAATATAACAATGAGTAATCATCTTTCCAGCTTCAAGGCTGTTTTAATTTATTTTCCTGACTTGACTTTTGCTGGCATTAAGAGGGGGTGAGCTCTGGGGCAGACATCAGCAGGGGGTCAGACAGTGCACCCCAGCCTCTCCAGAGGAGCGTACCCAAAGGACCGAGTGGCTGCATGCGGCACCACTCACCCATCGGATTCCATGTTGGAAGCAGGAGAACTGCACGTTGTTCTGACCGTGCTGTCCTGGGAACAGAGGGAGGGACTGCAGAGTGTTGTCATATTCCCTTGTGCTGTCTCTGTCTCCAGGCAGCGGGGAGCAGAGGGACACACAAAGTGAGGGTATGGGCTGCATCCAGGCCGCCTGACCCAATGGGGACTTTCTGTCACCACCACCAGCACTGCCCTTCTCCCCCAGGCAACTCCCCAGCTAGTCTTCCTTTGACAATACACCAGGGCCTGACAGCCCACAGACATAGAGACAAAGTTCTGCTGCTCTTTGAAACAAGATCTGCAGCTCCCTGGGTCCAGGCACCACTGCTGTGCAGAAAGAGATCCCATCTGTCTTCCTGCTGCTTACTTTACTGCTCTTCACTCACCTTTACCTCTCAGTTCCTAGCAGCACATCAGCCTCCTTGTTCCTTAAACATTTTATTTTAGAGAAGCCAGTCCTGCTGTCTCTTGTGTGCCTGGGTTGACCAGGCGCTGGCTTTAACTCACACAATTTGTCTGATCTCTTTTTCCTTGTCTTGGCAGGTGGTTATGGCTCCACACGAACTCCCAGCTGTGTTTGTTGAGAATTACATCAAGCTCCTTGCAGACTTCAGCACCGACACTTTCCAGAAGATACTAGACATGAAGGTTAGAGCCTGTCCCACGGAGTTTCTGCTTGTCCACCAGCACTGCACTGGGACTGTTGGTGACATTTTTCAGTAGAAATATAGAGTGGTTTGGGAGTGGGAAAAGCATTCTGAGGCAGGTGTATCTTGTGGAGTTGCTACTGAATAGCTTTGCAGTTCACTTTATACACTCACACCTGCTCTGGCTCCTGGGGCTGAGCTCAGTTGTCTCAGGATCATCCAGAGGTGTACATCCAGCTTGTGGTGGGTGAACAAAAGGTAGCGGTTTGACTCCTGCAGCTATTCTCATGCACGCCCACTCCCAGATCAGTGAGGTCTGACCATGGTGCTTCACTGTTGTTTGCTCCTGCAGGGCCTGAAGAGGAGCGAGCAGAGCAGCATGCTGGACCTCTTCCGCCAGCGCCTCCCGGCTCCTCCCTCCGGCGTGGAGAACACTGGCTCCCTCTCACTGAGTGCTCCCACGCCTGAGCAGGAATCCTCTCGGATACGGAAACTGGAGAAACTAATCAAGAAAAGACTCTAAGTGAGCAGAAGGAAACTGTTGCTCAGGACTGGCTGCAGTGACTGGGAGCAAAACTCCTCACATGTATGATTGACAGTGTGCTGCTGAAAAATCCCTGTCCCGTCATCCCCATGTCCTGTGATCTCTTCACCATCATAAACTGTGGTGCTGCATCTCCATTCAGACCAAGAGAGAATCTGACCAAGGTGTTTGCCCTGAGACAGCTTAGCAGGAGTGAAACTCAGGGCATTGGTGGGTCTGTGTGGTGGAGAAAATAGAGTCAGCATGGAAGTCAGCAGCTACAAAAACAGTTTAGGATTCAGAGAATATCCAGGTGTGATACACTTGGTGTCTCAGCCTTCAGCCTGGCTGAGCTCCTGCTGCAGCACTGAGGATTTTGCCTCAGAGTTCGGTGTTACTGCTCACTCCCTGTTGCAGAGCTGTTCCTCTGTTTCATTATTTATTGCAGGGGGAGAACTAACCCCAAACCATCACTACCACCAAATCTCCAACCCTTTAACAGCTGGGATCCAGGCTTCTGCACCTCCACTGGATTAATGAGATGCCCAGGAAAGAAACCCTAAGCAGACTTCTCCCCTGGTCCCAGGACAGGCATGTGTAAGCCACCAGTAAAGCAGCAAAGCAAATCCTTTTTGAACAGGAGGAAAGGGTTGAATTAATGCCTTCTGCACCTTGGCAAACCTCCTGCCAACAAGCAGCAGCCTCAGTTGCTGTTACAGCTTAAAGGCCAAACCAGACATCCGCAGAGCCCGTCTCCAGCTGCTTGTTGTTTCTCGTGTGTGTTGGACTCCCTGCTGTCCCTGATGGGAGTTCCCATACAGCATCTCGCCCTCTCTCCACAAAGGGCTGTTCATGGAGCAAGTGTCAGACAGCACCAGCTCCTTGCACTTATGCCAGCAGGGGTGTGTCCCTTTGGCACCTTTGCTGCCCTGCAAGGAGAGGTGCTGGAAATGGCTTTAACAGGGAGCCTCTTCCCAGGACAGGACACCAGCTTCAGACTTTGAGGGCCTTCCTTTCCTCCTTTGAGCTTCAGCTTGCACCAGTGCAGAGAGGAGAAGAACCAGAGGTGAACTAATTTTGGATAACCTGGCACCCAGCCACAAAGCTAGTGTGGAGCAGGGATGGGTTTGGTGTACACCCTGCCCATGGTGTGTTTCCCTAAGGAGTCTCAGTGGAGAGAAACATCACCTCAGGATTAGCAATGCTGGATTCCCAAACTCTGTACCCTTCTGGGGGACTTTGAAGGCCCAACCATGAACAGTTGAATCCCGTATGGGTTTAGGGGCAGATTGACCAGTCGTGCCTGCTTTACTCTTAAGTCAAGCGTCACTTGCACGTACAGGAGAAAGAAGTCCTGTACCAGTTTGGCAGGTGAGGAGCAATCATGATGTCAGATGCCTTCTTGGGTGGGTCACACTCCTCATCAGGTTGAGCTGAGCCTTAGGACTACTTATTAGGGCCTGTGCTCACTAGGGATTTGAATACTTGCTACTGCACAGCTGGGAGGGGGGGATAAGACACTCCAGAAGAATTAGCTCTGTCCATCCAAAATCCAGGTCTTCACTGGGATCAGGGAAGGAAAAGGGGACATGAGAAATCCCAAAGTGAGGCAGAACCTGGGCTCAGGCTATCTGCTTTGTGTTTCAGCATTGCCCCTCTTGGGTGCAGGCTGCTCCCTTTCCCTCTCCTTAGTCCCATGGCTGTGGGAGGGCAAATTTGGTGCCTGTTTGGTAAAATCCCATCCTCCCTTTGCCCAATTGGCAGGTGAGCCTGCGTTTGAACAGGCAGGAGTCAAGCACAGGATTGGAGCAGGAAGAACAAATCCGCAGGGATGAAATCCTCACTGTCAGGTTTCCTAACACTGCTCAGACCGATCTGCTGCTGCAGCAAGGTGTGCACCAACAGGTACGCGAACACCAACCCTTTAGGATGTGTTCTCAGGAGTCCTCAGGCTTGAGCACTGGGGGGTGCTCAGCTGCAGAGCACCATAGTGGTGACATCCATTGCAGAGCAGCAATAACAGTACTAGTGCAGAGGGAAGGCAGTTTCTCATCACTCCAAATTCCCCAGTCTTCCAAAGTCTGCTGATGCTTCATTTATTTCTTTTCCGGATTACATGCTGGGTGCCAAAAGAAGGTGTTTGAAAGCACGCTGGGATTGTGAACAGCCATTCCCTAAGGACAGATTAACTCAAGGTGCATGTGCAGGATGGTTCACACGTTATCAAGTGCAGTAGCCAGGGAGGAGGGAACATGGGTTTGCAGAGATTCATTATTCCTTTGGGGAGATAAATAATCCGTTCTAGATTCATTTTTCTTTGCTGTGTCTGTGGATGACTCTAACTCAATTATGAATAGCTGAGGATGATGTTCCAGTTAATCGTTGCGTGTCTTTCCCCAAAGGCTTCCCTGGTTCATTCTCCACATTTCATTCTGTAGACAAGAGGAAATAAAAGAAAAAATGGAATTTTAGTTTCAGCCTTTCAAGAGTGCTGCAGGTCTGGGTGGTTGGAGTTCTACTTTTAGACAGCAAGTCTGCATTTTTCTGTCAGTGTAAGGGTTTTGTCACCCAGCTCTTGGGTATTTATCAGGTTTGGCACGTCTGTATGCCTATGTTAGCTGTTTGGGGTTTACAGCTCTGGAGAATAAAGGATTATGATTTTTTTTTTCCTGTATAAAATGCCACTTTTTATGGGTTTTGGCTGAGGTGTAATTCTGGCTGTGTGTCAGAGTGTGACACTAAAACGAATTCAATGCTTACTGATGTTCAGTGTTTTCTGTACAAAGCCCCAGTGGCTGGGAGGGATCTCACCCAAACCACGCCAGCCCCAGGGCTCTCTGCTGCCTTTCTGCTCTGCTCTGTCCTGCAGTTTCTCTCTCTTCTGGCTTTTCCACCTTATGCTGCTCCAGCAAGCGACTCTCCACCAGCAGCATCTGCATTCACAGCAGCTCCCTGCACTGTGCTGCCGGCTCAGCACAGCTGCCTTTGTGCCCCTAAATTATCAGATAGTTTCTGATGACTTTTAACTGCTGGAGGGATTTCTGTGAGAGCCTCATTTTTCCTTTGACGTGAAGAGGTAGTGCCTTTTTTCCACACGATGCATGACGCTGGAAGAGTTTCTTTCGCTTGGAGAATTAATGACTCATTTGCTTTCCTCCTGCTGCTCCTGCCCCCTCCGCCCTTGGGCAGCCTGTGCTGGGCGACACGGGTGTTTATTTCTTTCACCAGATTTACAGCGTGACTCTGAGCATCCCAGTGCCGATGTCCAAGTCTCCACAAGCCTTTCCCTGGTGGCAGATGGGCGGGCGGCAGACACGGATGCTGTTCAGCGGCATCAAGCCGCGGCTCTGGTGTGCTCAGGAAAATGAGCTGGAGCGTTTGTCTTTGGGCTGTATCAGAAGAGGCTGTGGCAGAACATGTTCTTCTGTGTGCCTGCTCTGCTGGGGCCGTTTGCACCAAATAGTGCTACTGGCACCCAAAATTCTTAGGTTAAAGCATGTGCTCATTCCCTTAGCCAAAGCAGCTCCACCAATCCCGAGCCGCAGTCCAGGTGAGCTCCAGTACTTTTCCAGCCTTGCTTTTGTGAGCACAAAGGTGTCTGAGGGTGTTGGAGACCTGGGACCAGTGCCAGTGTGTCCCTGCTGGGAGTGGGACCTGGGTGGACTCCCTGAGCCCTTACCTGGGCTACAGGGTGTCCTGGGTTCAGCAGCAGCAGTCATTTTTCTCCTTCTTGGTAGCTGGTGCAGTGCTGTGTTTTGACTTTCGGGCTGGGAACAGAGTTGATAACGATGTTTTGGTTTGGCCAAGGACTTTGTGAGCCTCATGCTCTGCCAGGGAGGAGGGGGAGCCGGGAGGAAGCAGAGACAGGACACCTGACCCAAACTGACCAAAGAGGTATTCCATACCACAGCACATCATGCCCAGCAGGGAACTGGGAGTTACCCGGAGGGACAGGGGGTCTGCCAGGTCAGACTCGTTGTTCGGCGCGTGGTATTGTACTCCTTTCCCTTGCTATTTTCTCTTATCATTGTTGTCATTGGTGGTAGCGGTGGTGATTTGTATTGTACATTAGTTGCTAGACTGTTCTTATCTCAGCCCGTGGGAGTTGCATTCTTTCGAGTCTCCTCCCCATCCCTCTGGGAGCGGGGAAGGGGGGGGGGGGGCAGCCCCTGGGGAAGGGGGGGACTAACGTGGGCCTCGACTGCTTCCAGCCTGGCACCACTCACTGGGAGTGAGTGCACAAGTTGTCTGGCTTGGTTTAAACCACGACACAGGGTCACCAGGACCAAAGTACCACAGTTTCATGGAATCATGGAATAGTTCAGGTTGGAAGGGACCTTAAAGCTTATCCAGTTCCAACCCCTGTCACAGGCAGGGACACCTTCTGCTAGAGCAGCTTGCTCCAAGCCCCTGTGTCCAACCTGGCCTTGAGCACTGCCAGGGATGGGGCAGCCACAGCTTCTCTGGGCACCCTGTGCCAGTGCCTCAGCACTATCACAGAGAAGAACTGCCTAAGAGCTCATCTCAGTCTCCCCTCTGGCAGGTTAAAGCCATTCCCCTTGTCCTGTCCCTACAGGCCCTTGTCCAAAGCCCCTCTCTGGGTTTCCTGTAGCCCCTTTAGGCACTGGAGCTGCTCTAAGGTCTCCCCTTAAGGAGCCTTCTCCAGGCTAACCCAGCCCAGCTCTCTCAGCCTGACTCCAGAGCAGAGCTGCTTCAGCCCTCGCAGCATCTCCATGGCCTCCTCTGGACTTGCTCCAACAGCTCCACATCCCTCTTGTGTTGCTTCCCCCCAGCTGGATCAGGACTGCAGGGGGGGTCTCCCCAGAGCACAGCAGAGGGGGAGAGTCCCCTCCCTCAACCTGCTGCTCACGCTCTGGGGATGCAGCCCAGCACACAGGGGGGGATTCTGCTCTGAAGCGCACACTGCCAGGCCATAGGGAGCTTCTTGTCAACTGATACCTCCAGATCTATCTCCTTGGGCTGCTCTCAATCCAATCTCCCTGTGATCAGGCCCCTGGGAAGTTGTGGTGCCTTCCCATTCCCAGCAGGACATGGGGAGCCCATGGGGCTGCCATCAGGCTCTGAATCCTACAGGGAGAGTAAATAGCAGCCTTTGGTACTTGCAGTACACGGAGCTTTCTGGATCCCTGGGAAAATCTTGGCTCGTGGCTCAGTGGTTCGCAGGGTGGTGGCAGCAGGGCTGTAAAATCCGATCAAAAGAGCCACTTCAGCCATGTGCCATCAGCATTCATCCCTGCAGCTGAGCCGCTCTCAGGGCTCCCATCAATCCCATTGCTTGGAGGCGCTGCTGTGACTCCGGTGCCTGGTGAGTTCTTGGTCTGCACCACAGGGAGCAGCCTGGCATTTCCCATCATTTGGAAATAGTTTTCCATCATTATCAAATAACACAGGATCCTTCTGATCTGCTTCCCCCCTGCCCGCAGTGACAGCCCCCTGCACCACATCAATGTGCCTATTGTTCCATTGCTGATTAAACCAAGTGCACCCAGCCTGGTGGAAAGTCCTTTATGGAAGGAGGATCTTGATAAGATACTGGAATCTGGTCTGTCCCAGCTGTGCACGGGCAGTTAAAAAGTAAATAACATGGACAAACAAGCTGTGATGTACAGGCGGGGGAAAAGATTTCCAATGCCATCCGGGATTGCACAGATCAGTATGGTTTGAGAGGCTCAAGAAGACATGGGCTTTCTGAGACGGCAGAGTACATGTGCCTTAGAAGCAGGGCCCCTGTATGCAATGGGTATCAATAGCATTTTAGTTACTGAGCAGTTAAAGTTATGGTTGAACATTTCCTTTTTGTCCTAGCAGGCAAATTTACAGCTCTAGATAGCGGTGGTATGGGAGATCCTCGGGTCTGAGCCCCCTTGTGTGCTCTGACACCTCCACCTGCCAAGGCCAGAAATGAGAGCTTGGAAGGGCACAAAACATTGTCCTTTGTGTCAAGCCAGGCCAGTGTGGGAGGGTTTTGGCTAATAAATAGAGAGCAGCAAGACTTCCAGAGCCAGTGCAGCTCTGCTCATCCCGGTGCAGCCGGCTGCAGCTCCCCAGTGCTGGATCCCTCACACCCAGACACTAATCCCCATGGGAGCAGCCATGGGGACACCCACAGCCCACAGAGGTGGCTGCTGGGAGGTGCTGCAAGTTCCCCCATTCCTAAATAGCACAACTCGGTTGTTGGCAGCGTGATTTTGAGCCCAGGAGCTGCACAGCAGCTCTGAAATGATGATGGTGTTCATCTGGAAACTGCTCCAGCGCCTTCTGAGGCGTCTAATTTCATAAAGGGCTTTTATGGGAGATTTTGGAGCAAGGAGCAAGCAGCTTTCCCATTGCTCCCGGAGACCAGAATCTTTCTTTTTTTGGGATGCATTTAAATCAAAAGGAAGAAAACACCTGCCCAGCACATTTGCTCAGACCCCAAAGATTTCAGTCAAAACCTTTTAATGTTCTTTTTCTTTCCATCTGCATTTTTCAGCAAAGACAAACAGCCTCATAGTATTTCTTCAAAGGAATGTAAATTCCTTGAGGAAGTCTCCGGAGTTCCCAGCACTGCATAGCTGCAAACCACAGACGCCTACGGCTGAAAACTCTGCTCTGCTTTTAATTTTGGG